GAGTATCTCCCGCGCCGCTTATGTGGCGTTGATTGGGGCTAAACTAGATGGCTGGGACTCAGGAGCAGCAACTACCGCATCTCCTGCAGCTTCCTTTTTTTTATTTGCTCGTGAGTGCCAGCCATCTAGTTTAGCCCCAATCCACGCCGCATTTGGAACCATTCTTTGTTAAATTGATCTCGATTCAGTTCTCCCTATTTTCTCCATATCTTAGTTTTTTCAAGTTGTGATCATCTTCTACGTGTTATCCCTACGTGTTATCCCTACGTGTTATCCCTACGTGTTATCCCTAAGTGTTATCCCTACGTGTTATCCCTACGTGTTATCCCTACGTGTTATCCCTACGTGTTATCCCTACGTGTTATCCCTACGTGTTGTCCCTACGTGTTATCCCTACATGTTATCCCTACGTGTTATCCCTACGTGTTGTCCCTACGTGTTATCCCTACCACAATATTTCAGTAATTTTTTACAACAACCGGCAGTATTGGATTGTTTTTGTTCCTATCAAATGCGACATATTCTTTTGTATATCTACATTTACAGAGGCAGTTCGATTTTCAGTTCTTGTCCAAGTTTTTGCACCATACAGGTCTGAGTAGCCGTGACCGTTTGTTCAGTAACAATATTGACGTTCTCTTCTTTTAATTCATCCCATCTCAGGGACTTCGAGATTTCGTGGGGAGTTCCTGAAAGAGTCTTTTAGCATTGGGTGTCAAAATAAAACTGTGATTAAAACTAGCCCTAACCCTATTACAAGCTATAATACTGGACTCTCCAGGAAACTAACTAACAGAGATGGGGTGAACTAGAGTACTATATGCGACTTGCGTTATAAGCTTGCAGAACAGGACACGTGAAGATGAGTAAACCTAAACCAGCCAGCCGACATCCTTAAGCTAACAATATCACTTATTGTCTACACATTCTGCTTCAGGTCAAAAACCTGCCTGATCATCTCATAACTTTCTATCAATGGCATCTTTTAGTACTTCCGGATCCACAGATAGGGTTGTAGGCTGGACAAAATGAAACATATCTTCTGCCCGCCCAGGACAAAAACATAATAAAAGGCGATTAATTAGTGTTGTGCTGATATTGGTTGTTTTGTGTGAAATGGTCCGAAAATTAATAACCACAAATGCCGACCACATAGTTAGGGAAGAAAACAAAGAGTAGAAAGATACAGTTGTTGCAAACATAGGTACTCCTTTCTTGACATTAAAATGGAACTAAATGTTCACCCAAACTATACAATTTTTTACTGTATGGCACTAAGACCATACAGCCAAAGCAAGTCAGACTGGTGATTAAATGTATTAGTACTAGAATGTGGCTAGCCCCTCGGATTTCAGAGGAAATGACTGGCTGACTGACTTTCTACCCCACCAGGACATCACTCAAGCGATAAAAACCCGATGACACAATGCGCCACCATGCGGATGAGGATCACCTGTGGGAAGGTCCCAGAAACCGCGTTTAGCTATTATTCCATATTTATGGCCGGGTTATTTTGCGGCCCCTGGCAAGAGACTGAGTAGGGCTTTAAATACCGAAAAACTACATACCACAAAGGGATGACAGGATTTTTCAGAGGCAAAGAGGCTAAATCATTATATATGTGACGGCTACAGTAAAGGACATTGTAAATTTTTAGTGTCATCAAATTATTGTAAAATGCCATCAGTAATTACGGAAAGTGCGCAAGCCTCAACCACTGAAGCTTAAGTGATTATCCAATAACTTTTATACAATAGAGAAAACCTATGGAGTTGCAGATATATCTTAACTAAATAATGAAATTGTCATAATGAAAAATATATTGGTCTTTACTTCCCTTTGTTTCAGAAAAGTTTGAAGATATATGAAATTTTCTTGGCACAGTTCAGTCTTTCCCGACGATAGTGTTATATTGCGCTATGAGGAGGCATGAGACTCACAGCCCATGGCGATGGCGAGTGTGACCAGCAAGACCCGCTGTCAAGAAAAGTCTTCCACAATGATAGCATGGGATTTCAGGACCATTGTTGTCACCATTTGTGTTTAATCCGTTTATTTTTAGACGCTCAGCTCTCATCTTTTCTGCAATTAATTCTTCCTTTAGTTACATTCCCTTCCTGATATGCCCTTTCCACACAACACGGCCTATGGCATTTTGTTCCCATGAGTCCGCCTCAGATGAAATATATCTGGGTCAAAATACACAATTATAACTGAAAACCACGAAACGGTTGTGCAGTAACCTGCAGTCTAGTGTTGATAGAGGTTGGCTGCAATGTGGATAAGACTATGACAATAATATATAGTGTGATGCAATTATCAACAAAAACTCTTGTTAATCAGGCATGTGTTATCCGCAGGCTGCTTTACTGCAGTAAAACTTGGTCAGCTTATTCGCACCTGGAGAGACGGCTAAATAGCTTTCGCATGCGAAGCCCAAGAAGAATACTTGGCATTTAGGTAGGAAAAGATCACAAACGCTGAGTTACTGGAAAGAGCAGGTATTACAACAGTCATATCAATGCTTAGTCTACGAAGGCTCCGGTAACGGGGACACGCCTAGAGAATGGAGGATGGGAGAGTCCATAAGGACATTGTCAATGGTGAATTAGAGACGGGCAGAAGATGTCCTCATCTACGACATAGAGATGTGTGCAAGTAGGACATGAATGATACATGTTTTGTGGTGGACTCGTTGGAACCAAATGCCATAGACCGTGTTGTGTGGAGGGGGCACACCAGGAAGGGAATGAGAATGAACAAAGAAATGACAGCAAAAACGATGAGAACTGAGCGTCCTAGAAAAAAAAAAATACACACAAATGTTACAATAGTGGTCATGAAATCCCATGCTCTAACTGTGGAAGAATTTTCTTAGCTCATGCGGATCTTACTAGTCACACTCGCCATCGCCATTGGCTGTGAGTCCCATGCGTCCTCAAAACGCAATATAATAATATGTTTGTATTGTACGTTTGAACGAGAGTTCTGTTACTTGGTTGATTTTCATCCGTGAGATGTTATTCCTACGGACTATTATCATATATGGTGAACCAATGCCTAAACCAGTCTAGTGTCTGTTGTGTATTACAGAGACCTAATGGTGACAGACATAATCACATTTTTGTTCTAATATTTGTAACGATGCCGATGTGAGATTTAAATTGTCCTGATAATATCTCTTCATTTACGGTGACGTTTTACATGATCAGGATGGGAGAAACCTGTTACTCGTTGTATTACCTCTGTGGTTACTGTAGATGCATAGACGACGGTAGGCCAACTAAAATGGCACAGAGACCAGTTGATGTGCAGTTTTAGTCAAGGCTTCTTCTTCTTCATCTTCTTCTTCTTCTTCTTCTTCTTCTTCTTCTTCTTCTTCTTCTTCTTCTTCTTCTTCTTCTTCTTCTTCTTCTTCTTCTTCTTCTTCTTCTTCTTCTTCTTCTTCTTCTTCTTCTTCTTCTTCTTCTTCTTCTTCTTCTTCTTCTTCTTCTTCTTCTTCTTCTTCTTCTTCTTCTTCTTCTTCTTCTTCTTCTTCTTCTTCTTCTTCTTCTTCCTCTTCTTCTTCTTCCCCTTCTTCATCTCCTTCTTCTTCTTTTCCACCGTTTGCCTCAACGTATTATCGCTGATGAGCTATGTAAAGAGCACTATTAGGAATGATTTTGATTTATGTAAGACTGTTTTTAATGCCATCACTCAGTCTTTCCCAAAGTCTTCTGCTCGCTCTATACCCGTTGTAATGTTTTAGTGTGGCTCGCTGTGGCAGATGGTACCAGGGAATTTTGGTCTGGTGTCCAAACCACTTTGCTTGTTGTTCTCTGATGACCTGTAAGACTGGCTTTATTCCTAGCATTTGTCTGATTTCATGATTTCTTTTTCTGTCATTCCATGAAAAGCCTGCAGCTCTTCTAAAGCATTGCATCTCTGTTGTCACAATTTTACGTTCATTGGAGGATGTAAATAACGTTTGGCACTAGTGTTGATAAAAAAATAGTTCTGATAAGATTCACTTTAGTAGCCCGCTGTACTCAAGCGGTCTAGAACCCATTTAAGTGAGAAAAAAAAATAACAATAATAATAGTAATGCAACCTGTTAATATTGTGGTTAAGCATGTCAACAGATCTAAGCATGTGACATAGCGGTGCAGACGAACACGCCGACGTCATAATGATATTTTGTAAAGATGGGGTTATTTATACGATGGTCTCCCCATTTACACAACACCGGTTGTAGGTCAACTCCATTGATAAGTTGGTTGGATTAGTCTACCGTGGTCGAGGTTATGGGTGTCGCAGTCTGCTGTTATCTGGCACTTACGTCCCCCCCCCCCCCCCCCCCCTGAGAAAGTGACGGCCTTTGACATAAGTTTTGCCACTCTCCAGGGGGCGTTGTGTGTTAGACACAGTATCTAAATGTTTTAGAAGTCTTAAAAAGAAAGGGAAAACTTATAAAGAGACTTCCGGAAATGTTTGGGTGCGGGACAGCCTAGCCCCTTCCCGAAGGGGGTCGAGGCTAATTCATTTACCTGGGAAAGCTCAAGGTGTCCCAACACCCTGTGTCCGTATGTCTTTGAGGTAGGTAGCTGATTTGCTGGAAAAAAAAAGAAAAAAAAGACACGCACAACCAGCATCCCAAAGGGGAAGCTTTAGATTATAATTGTGACTAGGGTCTGTGTGCAGTCTAAAATGGCTTAGCATTGCACGCCGCCAAGAGCCATGAAAAGGACTCCAGCAGTGATGCTACGACCAAAGGAGACAGACCCAAATACTTTCCCGACCGGCGACGAAGTCGTTTATCGGCAAGCCAGTGGGTGAACTAGTCGCCTGTGTGCCTGGGAGATGGCAAGCTGTATCATTTATCACAAAAGGTCAGGGTTTAAAATATACAGTGCACCAACACGGTTGGCATATCAGTAGCTATTGATAACTAATCTCTCCTGAAGGTTAAATTGACCGAAAACATACAACGCATTTTTTATTTTGTTATATCAGAAGTAATAATGACAATCCTAACTGCTTTTATTATTGTTGAAGCAAGTTTTATATTTAACCTGGTTGGTGAGTATTTTATTATTATTATTATTATTATTATTATTATTATTACTATTATTTTTATTCTTGATGTGTCTAAGCTTGATTTCATCTGCCTACGATGTATTACCGACCGGTGTCAACATGGTAAAGTGGAGTCTGACTAACGACCCGACATACCCGCTATGTAGAGCTGAGCACACGATCTAGCACCTATTGTCCGCGTGCAGAAATGCCCTAGGTCAGGGTAGGAACACATAGCGCCACAACGAGGTACTGAAAGAATTAGCGACCGTTGTGGACCAAGCTAGGATGAGGGCAAATGCGAAGGCCAGTCCCACCGTCGTCCCCATGCGCCTCTTTAAGGCTGGACAGATTTATAAATGTAAATTCAACAAGGTCGCATACGCTCCCTCGATGCTTGACTGTGCGAGGGACTGACTACTGGCGGTTGACCTGCCTTTTCACGAAAAGCACCGAGTTAATCCGAAAGACTGGCCTGCGACCCGACATATTCCCTCACTCTGCGGAGAAACGTCAGCTCATCCTGATCGAGCTGGCCGTGCCGTATGAGTCGCCAATGGACGAAAGCCACATGTACAAGCTCGAGAAGTACAGTGACTTAGCGGCTGGTCTGAGGAGAGACGAAGCGTACACAGTAAGAATCTTCGCCGTCAAGGTAGGCGCAAGAGGTCTCGTTTCCACTTCTATGTACAATGTGATTAAACAACTGGGCTTGCCAGGAAATGAGAGCAAACGAGCACTGAAACAACTGCGCGAGGCTGCGGAGAGGGCCTCGAGCTCGCTCTGGACACAACGAAACGTCGTGGGGGGAATGGGCCTAGGTGAGCTGGCTTAATCAGTGACTGCGGCTTGGTTGCGAACGGGTTCGATTCCAGCTGCGATCTGGTAGATGATCACCTTACGTTGGTTTCGACCGAGGTTAGAAAAAAAAAAGTAAAGATCCCTTTTTACGCCTTTATGCTCATTTGGGAAAAGAACCCATATTTTTACAGACCAATCGGCACTAGGTGGGTAATATGGTCAGCATTACACCCGCCTGTAACCGTGGGTGGTATCGAGATCCAACTGTTCAGGGTAATGGCAAACTACTGGACGTAACATTGCCTGTTTAAATTACAAAAATAAATTCAATCAAATAAATAGTACCAAAAAACAAAAAACAAAAATTTAAAATAGTTAGGGTTGGTCCTGCAACGTGGTTGGTTATGTAAAGGAAACGTAAAAACTGTCAAGTCTATCTTCAAGTAAATCTAACTAAGGGTGTGTCAGACCTGATTATCAACGATTCGCCGGCTCATAATACTATTATAAGGCGAATCGTCGGTAATCAGGTCAGAATCAGCCTTTTATCTCGTACACTGCCAATCCTTAATGACACAGTGAGTTGAGTTGACAATCACAGCACTTGGGGCATTCCAATGCATGCGCCGTTCTCATCTTCAGCAGCAAGAGCAGAGTTCCAATACTGATGGTACCGGTCACAGTATGGTTATATGTAGTGAGCCAGCTAGAAAATATGGTTATACCCAGATGCCTCATTCTCTCCACGCCATAATAATATTTTGTCTTTACTCCTTCAGCTGCTTGTTCCCAAAGGTCCTTGATCACATGTGCCTTGCCATGTATCATTTCATCACCCAGTGGTGCAGACCCAGCCGATCTGTCTCTCTGTTCATTGCCTACCGGAGTCGTTAAAGAACAAAATCGGAACTTTTGAACTGAAATGCTGCAGACAAAATTCTTAAAATTCTATGGATGAAACAGAAGAAAAACACATGGTCTGAAAATCAATAAAGGAAAGACAAGGATAATGAGAATAAATCAGGCAAATAGTAATGTGGTTTCTCTTAATGGCACCCCACTCCAAGACGTGGAGTTGTACACCTATTTAGGCAGTAATGTAGATAAAGATGGAGGAACTGATAGAAATATTAAAATAAGAATACAAAAGGCAAGGCGGGCTTTCATAGCACTAGGGAATTTGTGGAGGTCAAAAGAAATTAAAAGAAATACTAAACTAAAATTTTTTAATTCTAATGTCAAATCAGTACTATTGTATGGGGCGGAAACATGGAGAACAACCAAAGCAATTACTAATAAATTACAGACATTCATTAACTGGTGCCTGCGCAGAATAGAGGGAATAAAATGGTATGATAGAATAACTAACGTAGAACTTTGGGAGAGAACTAAACAGGCTCCAGTGGATCAGGAGGTGAGGAAAAGACGCTGGCTTTGGAAAGGGCACACATTGAGAAAACAGAACAGCATAACTAGAATGTCTTTGCATTGGAACCCACAGGGGCATAGGATTAAAGGAAGGCAAAAAAACACATGAATGAGCTGGAGAATGAGGTTAGAACGATTGGGACGACATGGGAAGAGCTCCATGCAGTGTCGAAAGATAGAACGACTTGGCGTGAGTTGGTTGAGGGCCTATGCTCCTTTGGGGGATAGAAAGGCAGAAGAGCTTCATTCTCTCCATGCCATAATAATCTTTTGTCTTTACTCATTCCGTTGCTTGTTCCCAAAGGTCCTTGATCACATCTGCCTTGCCATGTATCATTTCACCACCCAGTGGTGCAGACCCAGCCGATCTGTCTCTCTGTTCATTGCCCACCTTAGTCGTTAAAGAACAAAATCGGAACTTTTGAACTAAAATGCTGCAGACAAAATTCTTAAAATGCTATGGATTAAACAGAAGAAAAACACACGTACTTTATGATGTGAACACCTGGGAGACTTGGAATCCTGTCCCCAAAGCTGTGACATATTGGTCATGAGAACGGCGATGGAGGTTTCCATTTGCGAAGGCTAAGACCTGATTCCACAAAGATGGAGGGGGGCTGCATGATCGTGGGGCATGGTGTCCGCCTCGAGTGCTAGAGGTCATGGGTTCAATCCCTGGTTATGTCTGGGACGTGGACATGGACTTCTAATAATTGCCTCTGGTCTCTGAGTAGTCAGATCGGACGCCCGTGTGCATTGTTGCACCTTTACGAAAATGGATGCACGACAGTGATGGTGTATTGACTATGAACTGGCTAGCCAAAGAGAGACGACTGTGCTTTCCCTAGCAAACTTTATTTTGTAAATGCTACTAAAGCCAAGCTTTTAAAGACCAATCACCAGTCACTCTTTGGGTGACATGTTCAACATCAGAATGGCACGACCGACATTAACGTTTATACCTCATCATCACTATTGAACAGGACCTTTGCAAAATGCTCTCATCACGGTCTGCCTGAAAAGAAACTCCGTCTCTCACAAATTTCCTTACCTCGTCCACTTTTCTTCCCAAAGTGTCATTTACATCCTCTGCCCATATTCTTGCTGGTCGACCATTCTCCCCATTTTCGGTTCGGTAACCTGCCTTTATTTCTATTATTTTATCAATTTCGCCCTGGGGCTTTTTTTTGGCAACATATTTTAGCTTCTAAGACAAGAGGCTGTTTACTAGCCAATGTCCCTTGAGGCTCAGATCAATAACGTTGTCTGTCTTTTTTTTTTCTTTTTGGTCCATGGTCTTCTGGCAATCTTTATTGAGCATTATAGCCTAACAGCTCATAGTTTCTTCATAAACATTTAATATAAAAAAGAAACTCCACAGGGGAGCATGTACAGCAGGGGTCTACCAATCATCAGTAGAATTGATCCCTCGTCTTCAATTGTTTAGGCCTACGAGCTCCTTGACAATTTCAGAGGGTGGTCCCACCTGAGTTTATGAAGCTCAGGCTTGATCTGCTCCTGCTGCACGTTACCGGATGTTTTCGGACAGGGACAAGACGAAAATGGTGACTATGCAACAGGTACTGTGAGATTCCATTTATATAGTTGCTGCGGTAGCCTATTAGATCAGTCAGCATACCTTGATGACCAAGTGGCAAGCTCACGGTTAGTTTATTAGACATATGTCAGACTTTGTTGGCAATTGTCAGAACAACACCAGCAGACAAATGGAACAGAGGGACTTAAAGAATAAGACTTTCTATTTCACTAGATACCCTAACCAGCCTACCGAGGCCCATCACCCACGACTTTCCGTTGTGTCCGGAGCCAGCTAGAGGCCCTTTAAGCAGCCTCGCACAGTTGTTTTAGTGATCGTTTTGCGCTCGTTACCTCGCAAGCACAGCTGCTTTATCACATTGTACATGGAAGTGGAAATGAGACCTCTTGCGCCTACCTCGACGGCGACAATTCTTACTGTGTACGCTTCGTCTCTCCTCAATCACATTGCAAAACTTGCAGCTATGATCTAACTTAATCTCATAAATACATTCTTCTTTCACTTTAAACTACAATCTGTGCAGAGAGTACGTTCCAGGTGAATGCAACCGATGGCTCCTACGGCCTTGTGGTCAACAACATCACGTGGCTGACCAGTGGCGATACATCTTTTAACGGCAATGGGACAACATTTTCAACGGTCAATGGGACACTTAAGGTTTATGTTTTATGTGTTTGTTTCAGTTTATGAATGTCTAGTAATAATTCAATGTATTTGTTTCAGTTTATGAATGTCTAGTAATAATTCAATGTATTTGTTTCAGTTTATGAATGTCTAGTAATAATTCAATGTGTTTGTTTCAGTTTATGAATGTCTAGTAATAATTCAATGTATTTGTTTCAGTTTATGAATGTCTAGTAATAATTCAATGTATTTGCCACATTCTATAAGTTGAAAAAAAAATTTTTTTTTTCTTCCAATAGTAGTAAATGTTTTTTTTTTCTTCTTTTCTATTCCTGGTGCTGTTAAGAAAGTGTAATTTCTAGCGCAGCTTGAAGAATAGAATACGGTAATATAGTTGGAGCTGAGTTGAAGAAGGGGACAGCGCGCTTATGTGATTTTCCCAAGTGCTGTATGCCTGCTCTTAACTTAACCGAAAACATGTTCGGTAGATTGTCATTAATATCAAAAACGTATGTAACTCGCATCGTCTGCGCTTACTAATTCTAAACTCCTATCTTCGGGATTGTGAAACAGGTCACAGGCCAACTGCCAGTCACTGCCTTTATTTTACCACTTTTGCGATTTGAGCCTGAGGATTTACGGCCGCATGGCTAGTGCAGTCGCCATGATTGTGCAGGTGAGGTTTTTTTTTTGGCCCTCGACAGAAAAACACCAGCCTCACCGAGGATTTCAATCCGGGTCTCCCACCGTTCTAACCGTTCGTTCAGACGCTCCTTACAGACGCCAGCGAACATAGGAATGTGAAAATTAGCAAGCTATTTCGGAATGTTTACGTTAAATATATATCTACTTCTATCAACGCTCTGGGCGCAGGTAGGTAGGGACTTTGCTGGAAGAAAATCGTTCGTTCAGTCTGCATCCCCAAAGGGGGAGTTTTAGGTTATAATTGTGACTATGTTATGTGTGCATTGCACGCCACCATAATCCCTGAAAAGCACTCCTGCAACGTTGACGGATTTAAAGGATACATACTAAAAATTGTGTCCTGATCGGTGTCGAAGTCGTCTACCGACGAGCCAATGGGCGATCCGGTGGTCGATGTGCCACTCTGTTTGCACAAACGCAGCTAAAAATATTGTGGTGAGGGATTGAATGAGGTTGGGGGGGGGGTGGGTGGCTTAACTGCTCTAACTCTCTCCTCTCTCTCTCTCTCTCTCTCTCTCTCTCTCTCTCTCTCTCTCTCTCTCTCAACTACACGTATTTTACACACTGTTATATTCTCCAACATCCGAATTCGACATTTACATCTCAGATGCTGACCAGCTCAACGAGCAACGGGTCAGACACCTTCGGCCCCTGGTCATCATGGAGTTTCATTTACCAAGCGGGGACGTTTGCTGTCAACACAACGGTTAAGACTTATACTGACCCCAGTTTACAAGTAGCCGTGTTCACGCAGGTCAGTTTCAGAGTATTGATTTGCAAAGTTGATTACTCAATAAATAGTAAGAAACGTATCTAATGCATACATACAAACATATTTTAAAAACTCGTATGTACATCACGTTCACACAGCACAGAGATTGGTACTTAGTTACGAATGAACACATGAATACATCCATACACTTGTCTACATTCTCACATTCATAAGCAAATGTGTTAATCTTGTAATCAGACATACTTAGACACTTCAACCAACACGTCAGCACGAGATATGGACCGTGTGATCAGCTCATTCCCAAGCTTCAGACTGAGTCCAGTTCCCCTTCGTTCTGGGTATCTTTCTTTTGCTGGGCATATGGTCGGATACACTCGACTGGCCATAGGAAGGTGAGCATGCATGTGTGGTTTTTAGGCAGGCATGTTTATTTCACAATAATCTGCATTATCTTTCAGGGCCCCTTTTGTGGAAAGGGGAGGGGAAGGGGGGGGGGGGTAGATCTACTGCTCCCTAAAACGGATGCGCGCGCAAAATGCAGTCCGTCAAGAAGACAAAGCCCGGCAGTGGATGAACATTTAGAACTTTCCACCAGAGTTTACTGAAGTTATTGTTGCCAACGGAATCGGAATTCTTCGCTTGCTGCTGAAGATGGGGACGGGGCGCTTATAGAAACGTTATGAGAGCTGTGATGTCAACTCTTAATTCAAATTTCAGCTGGAGTTTACAGCAGGTGAACAGGAGGAAAAAAAAAGAGAGAAGATTGCACGTCGAACACACTCATGAATGCTCATATATGTTGCTTGTTTGTTTACGCTGACACCTGCTCTGTACTGGATGCTGTAGCCAAATTGAGCTCTTGTGTGGCTTTTACATCGCTCTTCTCCAAAGGGTTTATCTAAACTTCGCTTTCGAGTCAGAGAGAGAAATAATTATCCTCATGTCTGAGGTCTTTAGCACACATTGTACCTCGTATAGAATTTATTTTGCCCATTCTGTTCTTAGAAGGCCAACTTTCTATTAAGGTAGTGCAGTAGATTTATTCAGTCAGTATGATGCAAGTCTTTGAAATGCTGAACTTTAAATTTTCAAACTTTAGATTTCGCTGCTTATTCCACCTCCTGATTTGACAGTCTCTCTATGTATCATAGCACGGCACAGCAAGGGCGTCCGCTCTCTAGATGCATTTAAAGCCAGCATGTTATGTGAGAAAAATAATTGCGATGTATAAAGGAAAGTAGGTACAAAGTTATGATTTTGAGTAAGTAGATAAAAATGTATGGCTTCGGTATGATTATAGAAATATATGACATTCGGTAAGTGTTTACAAATGTTTGGCTTTTGGGAGGACTAGAAATTTGGTAGGATTAAATATATGTTTGGCTTCGGCATTATGTAGACATGAATGACTTTTGGCAAGATTGTAGAAATGCATGGCTTTAATAGGATTGTAGAAATGTATGGCTTTTGGCATCATTGTATAAGTATATGACTTTCAGCAGGCAGTACAGATGATCGTTGACACTTTGCCAAAGTCATCTGTGCTGATAGAATCTTTGTTTGGAGGCGATCCTTTTTAAGAGGGAGACCTCTCTGAAAAAATCATATTGTGGCAAATGAAAGTTTCTCCTTTCTGTTCTTGTTTGTACTTGTTGGTTGTTTTCCATATTTTGTTTTGGCCGCTAGGTGTCGCTGTCTAAAAGATAATCGGTATCCGATATGCTGTGATGTAGTGTATTCTCAAGATATCAGTGACTCATGCAATCCATTTTCTTCTTGATCGTCTCCTGCCTCTTAGTGTTTCTACTTTGATGTTGCTGGCATCACTGGATTCTTTCTCATTATATGACCAAACTATTTCAGTCTTTGTTTTCAATTAATTTAATGATAGGTGTTGTTCCAATTGTTCTTGTAATTTATTTTTTTCAAAGGTTGATCCAGTTGTACTATGTATGTCAGAAGTGGGTCACCAGTTGCTGTTAACTGTCTAATCAGCTCCTTCCATCTTTGACGGTCAGATGCGATTGACTTCATGGTTGCATTCCTAAAGCCTGTTTATTCAGTTAAGTTCTATACCCAGATCGTTCATGGTGTGCCTCTTCTCCTCTTCCCCTCTGCTGCGTCCTGTAGTACTATTTTTAGGAGGTCGTTAAATCTTACTACATTTCCGTACCACTACATTGTCCGCATTTTAACTGTAATCGAAAAATATTTTTGTTGCCAAAATGCTGGATAATTATTCGGCTAACCCCGTCATTTGTTATGTGCACATTGTATATTATATCAATAATTTTCTTTCCTGATAGACTGCATTTCTAATACTTCTTCTTCTTCTTCGCGTTCACCAGCTGTACACTCTGGCGCAAAGTTCTGGTTGCTCGTCCATTACTGAACTGCAGTCCTGCTCCAGAACCTGAGTGTTGCGTGTGGTGTGCATAAGTTTTACAGATCTTATTCTCTTGAATACAGACTGTCGGTTCTTTGCCTCTCCGGCAGATGCACTCCGACTTTAAAGAAAGCTCCCCGACAATGGGACCTCGGAACCCACACGGGGAATTTCCAATACTTATATCTTCTTTTCGAGTTTAGATGTTAAGGTTCACGTTTCACATCAATGCGTAGATATATTTGATACAACAACAACAACAACAAAATCATTTTAATATAAATATCTATGTTCTACTTTACAGATTTCTACCGGATATCAATTTTCCAACTGGGATGCAAGGTGGACCTTTAGTCATATTTGATAACACCAGCAATGCGGTGGTGATTTCACCCTTATCACAATTTATGGCCGCCTCCAGCTACATCCAACATGGACAGCAAATCAACTGGGGCATCATGGGAATGGTAAACGAAGTGCCCCGTGGATACAGTGTCGATTTTATTGTTTACTATAGCAACCAGGGAATAAACCAGGTATGTGCACACTAATTCACCCGTCTATAATTCTCTAGGCATATAGTAACAAATTGTTAGGGAAACTAATGAACTTTAAAAAGTAAATTTTTTTTTTTTTTGGTTCACCATATTTCGGAGACACAGAGATATAATTAGTGAATTTCCCGGAAAGTCAATTATTATGGGGGGGGGGGGGGTGGGGAGTTTATGGTCAATTTTATGCTACTGGAGTTTCTAAGAAGTTCCCCACGAAATCTTGAAGTCGCTGAGATGGGGTGAACAAAAATAAAAGGACTGATTAAGAGACGTAAATTCAATAAAGAGAAAGAAATCTGCACGCGCTAATTCCAGTAACATTAGCGGGTGTTGTGGGGTGAAGTGGTTAATTCCAGAATCAACCCACTTATCATTTTCAAGGATCCTTGATGAAGGTGCCTAAGTCTTGTTTTAGTGTGCAGTAATAATATTACTATTAATAAGCTAAATGGCAAATAAATATACTGATACTTCTGAAATGTATAAACAAACGCCAGTTCGTTGATCTAATTAACGCCAACAAACAGAGGTCAAGACCATAGCCAAAGCAGACAAAACAATAAATATCCAACTTACATAACACCCTCTAAGACAAACCAAGAGTGTCAAATACTTAGAAAGCATAATATCATCAGATAGCAAAACAGAAGACAAGATTGATGACAGATGTAACAAAGCAAACCAACTCATGAGGTAAATGGTGCCAACACCCAGGGTCTGTGCTTCGTAATGCCGAAGTCCGGGTTTGATCCCAGCTGCGGGCCCTGCGCATTGCGTTGGTTGCGACAGTGGCTTCGAGAAGCCGACCGTTCAGGGCAATGGTAAACTACTATGCGTGAATTAGCCTTAAAAAAAAAAACCGCAACAGCCAAGAAAAGCTGGGGTTGGTTCTGCAACGTCCTTTAAAGGATACGCAACTAACTTCGAGATAAAATACTGCATACAAACACGACTTGATTAGTCTTTTGTTTTCGCTTCGTCCAGAGAATGCTGTTAGGGGAAATTGTTCGTTTATGACAATCGTTTCTATCGCAGGCCATGCAAGGATGGGGCAATTACTTGACCAGACTCTACAAGAAATCCACAGCTCCAAGAGACAACGATTTCACGGTACAGTATATGGGCTACTATACTAATAATGGTAGGTTTGAATCATTTTTTTTTCATGCATACATGTATACATCATCATCTTCATCGTCATCATCATCTTCACAGTCACTTCCATCATCATCACCATCACCCCGGCCATCAGCACCATGATTACAGTTTGTGTCTCTGCGTTACGATATTCTCCATACAGAGGTTGATAGAAAAAGAAAAAAAAAAAAGCCAATCCCCTAGCAGTGAAATGTATCAACAGGTACGATATTTGCGGTTTTTGAATACATTCCTGTAGCCTTAGATATGGAGGTCAAACATCGCGGATAGGTAATTTCGGTAACCTTAGAGGTTCAGATCAAATATAGCGGATTGATACACTTCGGTAACCTAAGATGTTTTGGTTAAATATCGCGGATATGTACAATTCGGTAATCTTAGATGTTCAGGTCAAATATCGCGGATATGTACATTTCTGTAGCCTTTGATGTTCAGGTCAAATATCGCGGATATGTACATTTCTGTAGCCTTTGATGTTCTAGTCAAATATCGCGGATAAGTACATTTCTGTAGCCTTTGATGTTCTAGTCAAATATCGCAGATATGTACATTTCTGTAGCCCTGGATGTTCAGGTCAAATATCGCGGATATGTACATTTCTGTAGCCTTTGATGTTCAGGTCAAATATCGCGGATATGTACATTTCTGTAGCCTTTGATGTTCTAGTCAAATATCGCGGATATGTACATTTCTGTAGCCTTTAATGTTCTAGTCAAATATCGCGGATATGTACATTTCTGTAGCCCTGGATGTTCAGGTCAAACATCGCGGATAGGCGTACAGACCGTTAAAATCTCAGAATGTTTTTTGCATCTGGCCATGGTTAGCTGTTGCATTCACCTCGTCCTCTCTGAAGATATGTATCATGTTTCCCAGAAATAAAACCTGCTACAGGAATAGCCCTAACAAGATTTTCTCGATGTTTTTAATATAAGCCATACCCCAAACAATTAGCCATAGTTAAAAAAAAAAAAAAAAAAACTCAGGTCCATGTAAAAGCCAAAAGTCCAAATAGACCAAATAAGGAGACCTTCCGCCGGAATTCACAGCCGGTAAACGAAGAAGTAGTTGAAGTCAGCTAGAATGAGAGACTTGCTGCCGCGTTGTGTTATTCTGTTTCAAGAACCGTCACCCCCTTCTTTAGCCGCCAGTTTCGATGCCAGTAGTGCCAGTTGCAGTCTGATTATATGTCCGTCTTGCCTCTCCTTTGAGTCTCGAGTTTGGGCCAGATGCCATAGTCACTTTCCGCTGCATCGTACTCACCAGACTGTGATGATCTATTTGCCCATAATGCCTCAACAATATCTGACTTATCTTCTTCTTCTGCCTTTCTAACCCTCAGTAGAGCGTAGACCCTCAAGCAAGTCACGCCAGGTCGTTCATATTTTTCTATTGCATTCACCTCTCCCATATCCTCCCTATCTTTTTAGCTTCACTCTCTAGCTTCCTTCTCTATGTGTTTTTGGTCTTCCTTTATGTGACGAAAGTCTTGACACATTCTTGATAGCAACAAGTCAAAAAGAACTACAGGAATTGATAGACATTGTGGTGTTAGAAAGTGGAAGAATGGGCCTCAGTTTGAATAATGGGAAGACAGAAGTATTGGTGGTATCAAAGAAACGAATTATTCCTAAATGTGTAATAACAGTTGATGGTGTTATTTTAGGACAAGTACATAAATTTAAGTATCTTGGCACATGGACAACATCAGATGGAAGATGCATAACTGAGATAAGAAATAGAATAGGACAGGCAAAAACTGCATTTTATAAAATGAAAAACATCTTGTGCAATATATCCTTGTCATTGAGACTTAGAAATAGAGTTCTTGCTTGCTACATACATCCAGTTTTAACATATGGCTGTGAATCCTGGACAATCGGTAGGCAGGCCAAACAATTTTTAGAGGCCTCAGAGATGTGGTTTTACAGAAGAATGCTTAGAATACCTTGGACAGCCAAAAAGAGCAACCAAAAGGTTTTGAAAGAGGCGGGAGCCCGAAGACAACTTATCACAGACATCAGAAGGAGACAGTCATCATTTTTCGACCATGTTATGAGAAGAGGGCAAATAGAACATGTTGTGACAACTGGAAAGATATGTGGAAGGAGAGATAGAGAATGACAGCGAGAGAAGATGCTTGACAGTCTTGTTGCATGGCATGGAGGTGTGTCGGCACACGAACTGATACATGCTGCAGGTGATCGCAGATTATGGAGAATCATGATCGCCCACGCCAGTCGGCAAGGCACCTGATGATGATTATGTGTAGGCCACTATGGATCTCACTGCAAGGACATTCTAGTTATATTGCTCTCAGGTTTTCTCAACGTGAGTCCCATCCAACGCCAGCGTCTTTTCTTCACCTCTTGGTCTGCTAGGACTTGTTTAGTTGTCTTCCAAAGCTCTACATTAGTGATTCAATTATACCATTTAATCCCTCTATTATGCACCACTTAATGCATGTTTGTAGTTTTTTCTTCTTCTTCTTCTTCTTCTTCTTCTTCTTCTTCTTCTTCTTCTTCTTCTTCTTCTTCTTCTTCTTCTTCTTCTTCTTCTTCTTCTTCTTTTTCTTCGCGTTCACCAGCTGTAATCTCTGGCGGAAGGTTCTGGTTGCTCGTCCACTACTGAACTTATTTGTAATAATTGCATTAGTTATTCTCCCTGTTTCAGCTCCATACAACATAACGGATTTGACATTAACATTAAAAATTGTAAGTTTATTATTAGTTTTAATTTCTTATGACCTCCACAATTTCCCTATTGCTATGAAAGTTTCTTTTGCCTTTTGTGTTCCGTATTTTAATTTCTATATAGTTCGACCATCTTAATTTATATTACTACCCAAATAGATGTACGACTTCACGTCATGGAGTGGGATACCGTTAAGAGAAGTCACATTACTATAGGTGTGATTTATTCTTTTTTTTTTTTGGTGGGGGGGGGGGGGGGGGGGGGGGGGGGGGGTCGTCTTATTTCCTAAATTGATTTTTAGATCTAGCTGTTGTAATCTTGCATCAAGTATTTTTAATTTATCTTGCATCTGATTCTGCGAGCGGGACAGAAGAAGATGAGAAATATCACCAGCGATGTCCAGATCATCAATCTGTTTTGTAGGAGTCCACTGAATTCAGATTTGTGAAATAGATGTGCACCCGAAATTCGAGTTCCTTTTCAATACAAAAGACCAGGAGTGGACGAACAACCACCCGACTTCACAGCCGGTAAACACTAAGAAAACAAGGACCTTGGCTACGAGGGGAACCCAACCTAAAATTGTCACAAGGTGAAGTTCTGGAAAGTAAAGGCGGTCGGTGTGATGTTGACCAATCATTGAGGGCCGATTGCTTTGTTAAATATAAGTCCAGAACAATATGCCCACTGAGCCACTGGCTTAAAAGGGGACTTTACTTCTATTCTTCAGGAGCGTACTATTATTACAACACAGAACAAGGCAAAAACTACGAGAGTACAATCATTGATATTGCTGGTTACATCAACAATATCAGCGTGCCATTCAAGTGAGTCAGTTTGATAATGACATTATCTGATACATTTGTCACCATATAAGCAGATGTCAGAATGTTATCAACAACCTGAATGGCTTATTTGCAAGTAGTTGCGTAGCAAGGTCAGGTTTTACCTGGTGCGGAAATTACCCCCCCCCCCCCCCCCCCCCCCCCCCCCCCGAAACTCTCCTCTTTCTCTAGACATATATACAGGTACAAGAAATGTTATTGTAAAAAACGCATAATTTTGCCTTTCGTGTTTCGCTATATCCCGTCAGTTTCATACCACGGTAACAATTAAATAAATCAGCAATTAAGTTCTTATTTCTTCTTTGCATTCGGTTTCGTATTCTTAGATCAGACCATCATCTGGGTTGTCTGTATGAACTCGTAGATCAGTAGCGGGTCCTGAATGATTCTCCATATCTTGTTCTGCACACTTTGCTCATGAGGCTAGGTGTCTTTTCGAAGCTGTATGTAGAGTGTCAGGTCTGCAGAGCATACTTAGGTGTGTGTGGTCCTGTTTGACAGGCACACTGCTAGAATCTTTATTTTCATGGACTTGGTAGTTAACCCTGCACTGTCCTGTTCGCAGACGGGAAAAACTTGTATGTTGCTATCTGTTGAGTCTGCTGACAGGGTCTTGTGGATGTTTACTGTCAGTAAGCCAATAAGTCAATCCTTTATAAGTGAAATACAAATTGTTACACTCAAGAGGATTCGGTTATTAACCTAATTTATTTAATTGTTCACCTGATGAGAAATAGCGAAACATGCCACGCAATAAATTGTGCAATCCATTGTTCGTATCTTCAGTGTTCAAATTTACAAACGGGTTTAATTGCACCAGATTTGATCCCATACGACTGGTCTCTTTCCGCAGAACGGCTAGCCGCTTGCCGAGTGCGTCGCACAAAGCACTAACTCCATAGCTCCGGCGATGATTCCCGGTGATCTTTGTAAAAGCTTTTTTTAAATGCCATTTAGCCTCTGCATAGCAAATCGTTTTCTGGCTTCTTTTGTTCAGTGACTGTCGTAGTTTTTTGCTAAGCTTGACAACTCTAAATTTGTGTTGATGAATATGATGTTTATATAAGGTGCAGTTAGCGATACTATATGAGATTGTTACCGACAACCAGGTATCTGCAGTTCGATTCGTGGTGGTATCTGAGAGGCAAACATGACGGGACAAAAACATGGGAGCCACAGAGAGATATATTCCCACACGGTTTCCAGTAAGTTACATGTTACATGCTTATACTTGTGGTTTTATTCAGCTCACAGGAATATTTTAGTGATGAGATAGGTTGTGTCTGGAGATAGGTAGGGTCTGTGGTGAGGGTTGTTGGAAAGCAAACATTGTTTCCAATGCGCTGCCATCTCTAGCAAACGTTTTTGTAAATAACTGTAGAAAAGTGAAAAATGATTCATCCCTGATTGATAAATCATCTAAGAGAACAAAGCTGGTTAAGTGCACTCACCATATTTCAGTATATTAAATTATTGTGTACTATAAGTGATAGGTTGTGTGGTTACTTGCATATTTCCACATATGTTGGTATTGGGACACTTGAAGTATGTGTGCTTCGTGCAGAGTGGCATGCTTCACTGCGGAGGACACGTGTGAGGAGTATTGTCTGGATTTTTTCACCAGGGGACGCCGGTGTGTTGGGAAATGAACATGCGGACATACTGGCTGGCTCTGCACAACATGGTGGAATACTGATACATGATAAGGCAGACGTGGTTAGTGCCTTGTGGGAGAGTGTGTACAGTTCGGAGGAGCAGATGGATCACCACAGTCTGGTGAGATTGATGCAGCGGGGAGTGACGCGAGGTTCTGGCAGATGCTCGAGGCTCAGAGGAAGACGGACGTTTAATCAGAATGCTACTGGTACCATTAGTATCGGAACTCTTCGCTGGCTGCTGAAGATGGGGACGGAGCGCTCATGGGAATGCCCCGAATGCTGTGATGTCGGTTCTTGAATCAAATCAAATCAAATCAAGTATGTGTGAATATTGTTCAAAAGTTTTTCGTGGATTTTATGGATACATATTAGATTTTAACCAGCTAAAATATTCAGTAGTTTCTGTTTTTCTGTTGTTCAAACTAAGATCAATTTTTTTTTAATATGCATAATTTCTAAGTAGGGTGACAATTATATCTTGAAGCTGCAAATTGAATATCCTAAGCAAACCAATTAGTCATTATTTGAAACAATTATTTTAAATACTTTGGATGTTATGTGCTTTTCTTGTATGACATGTCCGATTTCATACCAACCGAAATAGGGAAAACAGCTGATCTAAAAAGAGATTATCCGACTGAAATATTTTGTTCATCGTCAACCATGCCCACATTAACGCCATTAGATTTGTCACTTGCAATATCGTTCATAATATCAACAACAAAAAAAGGGTAAAAGATAAAGTCGGGAGACTTGAACCAGCGTCATTGCACACGATTATAAACAATAAGTGCTCTGCCATCAGTAGAGACAGCTGATAAAAAAAATGTCCGCCTGTGTCGCCGTCTGCACGCAACTCCGTAGCTACAGCGACGTTCCTCCATTTACCACAGAGTGTTAACTCTGGTACCATTTTCCTAAAGCCTGGGTTAACCTCAGGAATAGCCTGATTTCGAACACTAGCTGTTGGCTACAGCAAGTCGCAGCTGAATTTAGAAGCGAGTCTCCTGTTGACCGCGCCTATGCGGCCCACAAGACCATTGTGACTATCTGGCCCAGATAGCAGCTCTGCATCTTTTCGCTTACCATTTGGTCTGGAAAATCACCTAAAAATTGTATTGCATGTAATTAATCTAAAACAAATCAGAAACTAACGTAAACCGTATGCAGAACTTCAAAATAGACTTCGTGTCTATTTTTAAAAAAAATATTTTCAGACAAATTCGTTTCCCCAGCAAACAAAACAATATTAGAGTGTTTCTATGATGCGCTACCATAGAGGCTCAAAGTGGAAACGGGGTGGATTCCAACAAGCCACTTAAGTGGTCTTTAGTCCATACAGTGTTAAGGAACTAATATATTCTAAGAACATGATAACATATAAGCCTTAAACTGTATAAGCCATACTAATTAATTAACATTAAAATGTATTTTTCAGCTGCCTGCCTTGATTGTAGTGGTTCCATTTATACAGTGTAGATCTATCTACTAATGTAGATCTATATATTTCCCTTTTAATTTGTGTATGTGCGTATACTTCTTTAAATGTTCTATTTGCGTACTTAATCCTTTGGGGTGGGGGGGGGGGTGGGGGGGGTGGTGTTGTACTCAGAGGACGGCAGGGACACACCAAAAAAAAAAAAAAAAAAGGGGACTGTCACATATGAAAACGAGACATATGTTTACCTTAATTCAAAGATGTAGATTACCTTTCTGAAAGTTGTTTTTGTTAGCATCGTAGCCTGAGGTGGTGACGTCACACTCAAGCTGATATCATCAACCCCAAGACCCATATTGGAGACGGCCTTGGTAAGACAGACTGACCTTAAACAAGACAGAGGGTTAGGGAAAAACATGGCTACCATAGGCTGTGAAAAAAAAAAAAGAAGTTTCTTACCCATTCCTCTTAGCCTAGTTTTAGTAGTTTTTAATTTCCTGCCACACTTTAAACAGTTTTCACACAGTCAATATAATATCGGGTGAGTATATTTAGCCGTAAATACATTAAGTGTGCTATACAAACAACTATTATAAATGACGGATACCATAATGTGTAATATATGTTCTAATATAACTAATGTGAATAATTAAATTTGACAGATATATCTATAATAGGACAAAGATGCCGTTTGGATGCGATAACAGATTTTGGTAAGAACAGATTTTATGGTTCATAAATACTCGTTAGGCACTATCATGTTCAAGATGAAGTATGGGCACCTTGACACTGATTAGCTAAATAATAGACGAAGAACAAGAGGAGGGAGGGACATAAGAAGAAGGAAGAGAAGAAAAAGAAGAAGAAGAAGAAGAAGAAAAAGAACATAAAAATGAAGAAACAGGGAAGACAAAATAAGGATAGTAGGATGCGATTCTTGTGCTATTTAAGGTTATTTATGTGCAGAGATAAGCTTCTGTGTTTGCCAAAATAAATAAAATCACAAAAGTATGAACCATAAGTTGGCATCTGCAGCCTACGAGTAATCAAAGCGGTTCCCTGTTAACTTCCAGCGACGAGTCATTGCTCGATCAGCAGACTGATATTTCGACAATGATATAGACAGCCCATTTCATAGCGGCAGTGACAAACTACTGAACGTAAAATTTTCAAGCAAAACCACAAACAACTTACACATTGGTTTGCGAGGCTCTGTAAAGAACATGCAACTAAATTTATTCTTCCTTTTCTTACAGGTCAAACCTTGTGGCTTGTCTATCCAAACCTTCTGTTTCGTGTACTTTCAGTCAGTTTTGAGACCGATGATGCTCCATGCCATGATTTTATAAACTGCCCAGCATCTTCTCCCTCAATCTATCGCTGCATCTTTTCCCCTCGAACTTGTTCACTCGTTTTCTCCTTCTCAAGACATGATCAGAGAATGTAGATTGTCTGTCTCTTTCTGATATGGGCAAATTATTATCTTGAGTCAGTTTCTTTCATGATATGTTTATTGCACCTTTCATCTTTCCAGATAACTGTATTTATATTTACAGTAAAACTTCGATTAATCGTCATCGTCCTGACCAGGACTGTGATGGATAATTGAATAGACAGAAATTGATGAACATCATAACACATATTTATAGTAACGTACTTTCACCGCTGGCTTTCCAGGAAAATGCAAGTAAAATCCTTCAACAGGGAAGAATACTAACACCTTTTACAAAAAGGCTTCTCATCTGTTGACATTTCAATGCGCGTAACCGATCATGTGACAGTACTGGTGAAAATAGGCAAGGAAAGGCTTCAACAGAGGCTATGATGGATGCAGACGTAGTCTGTATAGATGATAGTACGCCAACCAGAATGGCAACGAGACATAGTGATGCAGACACGGCTATTGACAAAACCAAATGTCTTAGGCGATCACGGGAGGGATCATATGCCATGCTCGGTCTTGATTTCTGAAGCTAGCAAGGTCAGGGCTGTGAGATTGCGTAAGGCTTTTAAGGATGAGAGAGCCAGTACCATTCATGGTCGCCTCCGACAGAAGGTATGAAGCAAAACCACCATCTCTGCCTTTGTGCAGCCTCCATGGTAAACCCAAGAAGAAGAACAGGCATGGAGAGCAAAGCGAGCAGCAGTTAAGAAATTACAGAAAGTGTGAAAGGTTATAAGAGGATGTAGAGAGGCTAGAAAGAATAAGAAAAGAACAAGTGGAAGAGTTCAAGCATTGTGCAGCAGATGCAAAAGAGGCGAAATTGGAATATTTTATGAACGAAATCGGAGAGGATCATTCACTGAGTAGGTTTTGGACACTTCACAGACAAATGCAAAGAAAGGAGAGGACTATCACGACAGGCATTGTATACAATGATAATGATATACCGATGACAACAGACAAAAAGAAAGGGGAAGCCTTTTTGAAGAGATTCATAGCCCAGACTCATCACAATGAAAAGGAGCTTAGAAATTCAGTTAGAGACAATCTGTTTAATACAACAAATGATCATTATTTTGAGGATATAATTAGGGTGGAGGATATCAAACATACATTTAAAAAAGCAAAGGACACTGCGCTAGGGCCAGATAGAGTAAGGTATGCCCTCTTGAGTGATGAAGACTTGAGGAAGATGGATTTTTACTTCAACCAGAGCTTCAGAACAGCTTCAGTACCCCAGGAATGGGTACACAAGTACCTAATCACACTTCCAAAACTAGGCAAAGGGCATTCCTGATTAGCAGTTTCAGAATTATCACCCTACAAAATACTTTTGGAAATATTCTAGAGAAGATTATTGCTGTTAAAATACACATGTTTTTTGGAAGGGGAAGAGTTGCTGCCAGAAGGCTTGGGTAATTACCGGCCACGAAAAGATACTTTTGCTTTTGACGTTTATGAGGGGTTCCAGAACAGACAAGAGACGGTTGTGGCAGCACTTGTTCTTGAGGATACCTAAAATAGCAAGGTGATAGAGAAGATTTTTGCTGTTAACTCACAGAGCATGTTGAGAAAAATTTAGACAGGTATGCTCTGTGCAGAGTGGCAAGCATCACTTCAAAGGACCCGAGTAGTTAGCATCCTTTGAATATTTTCTCCAGGTCATGCAAATGTGTTTTGAAATGAGCAGGCAGATAGACTGGCCGATTTTATACCACTTAGTAGTGGACTGATGTATGACAAGCTGGATGTTGTGAGGGCCCTTTTGGAGCGAGTGAACAGTGCCGAGGTACAGATAAATCGTTACGGTCTGAGGAGAATGAACTGCGAGGAGCTACAAGGGAATCTGGCGGACGCTCAACACTAAGGCGTACGGCGAGATGGATATAAATCACACAGTTACTTGTACCATCGGAATTTCATCTCTTCTGAAGATGGGGACGGAGCGCTTATGGTGGTGTTCCGAGTGCTGTGATTCCTTATTCAACATTAAACCGCGGGCCCGACCACAAGGAAGCCCTAGACGTCATAACTGACTGCACAATTTATTGTGGGAACGCCTTAAATTGATACAGTTAACTAATGTAATGTATCCATACGTCTTCCTCAACAAGAATGTAGAAGGAGTCGACTAATTAAATGCACCCTTTGAAGTCGGAGTGCATCTGCATAAGTGGCAAGAAACAACCAAGTGCACACAAATAAGCTAGTAAAACGGATGTACACGCCAAACACAGGCCCTGGCGCAAAGTCAGTCTAGATGGATGGACAACCAGGACCTTCAGTCGGAGCTTACTGTCTGTGATCAAAGAAGAAGAATATGTTAAAACATCTTGAACTGCATATCCTATCTCTTGTAAGAGAACCAGTGTTTTGTTGTTTCTTCAGGGACGTGGACACAACCTATGCCAAATACAACGGTGGTTCATACAACTTCATACCCGACAGACAATCTGGCTACGCTGTGCCTGACGATTATGTAAACGAAACGTTTTACAGAATAGTGTATCTCAAATTCTTTCTCTCTCTCTCTCTCTCTCTCTCTCTCTCTCTCTCTCTCTCTCTCTCCCTTTCTCTCACTTTCTCTCACATTCTCTCTCTCTCTCTCTCTCTCTCTGTGTGTGTGTGTGTGTGTTTGTTTGTGTGTGTGTATTCCAAAAATATATACATGTATTTATCTGCCATTGGGACTTCTCTTTCAACTGCACTCTTGAATGTCCTCTAGACCAATCTCTCGTGAGTGCTTCCGCCTCGAACGCTCTCAACTCAGCTTTCTCTCTTTCTCTCACTCCCTCCCTTTTTCTCTCTCTCAACTGATCTCAACCCCAGTATAACACATGCTCCCCTTTTTCGAGCTTAATCAGTGGCGGCTTCTTGAATCTCTCATTTGGAAGCCGTAATCCAAAGAGGCTGCTATCGGAAATACGTCAGTTAAGAAATGTTGTGTTTTGTTTTGGTACATGTGGTTTTGTTCATTTTTGTAACATGCTGATGAAGGCTCTGAAACCGCAGCTTTTACTTTCCGATTCTGTTTTGTTTGACGCCCTGAAGCTCGCTGGTCTACTTTTCGTTTACTTTTATATCTTTTCATTGCACTTTTTTGAGTAACCATGCGCTGTTTATTAAAAGGTTTAAGGTTTGAAAAACATATCAACATCATAACACACGGACAGTAACCCAAGAGTGCTCCGTTTTTTTTTTCTTACTCAAGTCTGAGTCTGAAGAAGCTCAGCACAGTGCACAGGCTCTGTAGCACCGGCGAGGATCCTGAAATACTTTGGCTAGATTTTAAATCAAAATTTTGCTCAGACAGCGCCGTTAGGCTTCTCTTTTATAATTTCTAACAGCCAAGTAATTTTTTACGTGCCAACAATGCACACAGGCGCTCGATCTCACTGCCCAGAGACCAGGGGATATTACTAGAAGTCTAAAGTCCAAGTGAAAAAACTCCCAGCCTCCCTTACTGGTGATTGAACCCGGAACCGCTACCACTGGAGGCGAACAACATGCCTCGAGACCACGCAGCCCCCCTATAGAAAAGCGGAGTGTGCATGTTAGACAAATGTAGGTGACATGCAACTGTGTAAACATTTGATTGTGCTTGTTGTTGTGAGTGATATTGTAATTCTTCCAAAATAAACGTTTAAAAAAAAGTTAATAACATTTTTGCACTCATGGACATATGGGCTAGACAATATTTGTATAGATCAGTCGATGAGTGGTGATTAGTAAGGATTATCATCACAGCACTCCGGACAGATCCATGGGTGCTTCGATCTCTTCCTCTAAATCTCCGTAAGTGTAAACCAGCTGATGACGCCTGTTCTGTATTGGTTAATGAAACGTCTTGTCCCCTTGTCCCTCCCCCCCCCCCCCCCCCCTCCCTTGTCTATCAGCATAGACAGGGATATGGAGCCATGCCCTTTGGCATGCTTGTTGTCATAGCAAATTCTGCGCATGGCATTGATAACATTGCTTCCGTTCAGTACTTGGCCAGCCATAGCAACCGCAGTGTCTGCAAGATAAACCGCATGCTCGTTCAGTTGAATACCCGCATCGGTAAAAGTTAGGGTAGCTATTCGTGAGGTGCTTAGTGTTACAATCCATTCTTGTCTGATGAATCCAACCTGGATGTTTTTAAAATGCATATTCATTGAGTAACTACCGGTACCCACGCTAGGCTGGGTCGACCTTGGATTCTAGGTACGTTAAAAAATATGATTTGCTGTCAATTCGAAACCAACGATCTTATCTTTCATCCTGGTCATCATCCTCAACAGGTGCCTTGCCGACTAGCGTGGGCGATCATGCCTCTCCACAATCTGCAATCTACTACAGCATGTATCAGTTCGTGTGCCCACAAACCTCCATGCCAACAAGACTTTCATGAATCTTCTCTCGTTGTCTTCCTCTATCCCTCTATCCACAGATTTTTCCAGTGGTCACAACATGTTCTATTTTTCCTCTTCTCATAACATGGCCGAAAAATGATGACTGTCTTCTTCTGATATCTGTGATAAGTTGTCTTTAGGCTCCTGCCTCTTTCAAAACCTCTTGGTTGCTCTTTTTGGCTGTCTAGGGTATTCTAAGCATTATTCTGTAAAACCACAAATCTGAGGCCTCAAGAAATTGTTTGGCCTGCCTACCGATTGTCCAGGATTAACAGCCATATGTTGAAACTGGATGTATGTAGCAAGCAAGAATTTTTTTTCTTATTCTCAATGACAAGTATATACTGCACAATATTTTTTTTTTTCATCCTGGTAGTAAACTATAAAACCGCTATCGATTTGTCTTTTCTAAGCTGCTACCTCAACGTTTATCACAACATCCTGAGATTAAAAAATCTCAGGTTGAAGAGCAGACCCATTCAGCAGATCCTCGTGCAACCTTCAAAGATGTTAATAATTAGGTCATCCTGTAACGGCTTCAATAGCCAGCTGTAACTCTTCAGTCCTGTGCGGATAAGTGCGATTAACCAAACTCGTCATAGTGAAGTAAACGTAAAGGTATCTTTTCCAGGCCTTTTAGTCGTATTGGGTATATAGGCTAGACCTATATTTTAAAGACCAAAATGCACTTGGTGGTCGGCGATGTGGTCAGCATCACGCCGGCCGCCTTAACTTCCAAGGACTGCACCTGGTACCCACTCAAGGCTGGGTCGACTTGGTAGCCAAGGTCAATTTTTAAGAAAAAAAAATCCGGCGCTTATCAGAAACCGAACTAACAAACTTCCGACCCCGAGGCGAGCGTCTAGCTGACATGCCACTACACCAAAGTGGCTCCCTGATATCATCATAGTGCCCTTACATTTTTATCGCAATCTGATTTTTCTCGCGTTGTTTTCTCGCGTTTCTCGAGTCCGAAATCTTTCACTTGTGTTTTTATGATTTCCTTCCGCAAGTCCTATGTTTCTTTAATTTCGAATTTAGTTTCTAGTTCTTCCTGTTGTTTGTTTAATAAATACTTGTCATTTGTTTTGGTTTTATAGCATTTCTGGGAAGACATTTTTAACAAAACTCAAACCTGGGGCAAGTGCATCTTTTATGAGCAGGTTCGTGATATTCGATTTAATCGGAATTTTTTATCGTTTGATAGTTGTCGTTATCCTCAGACTTATCTTGCCAGTCATAATACTTCTTGTTCTGCCGCTGTTGAGGCTTCATGTTATCGTCAACTGTTTCCTTTTTTTCTTCTTCATCTTCCTAGCCATTATTATAGAGTAATAATAATTATCACGACCACCACTGCTACCATCACCATCGTCGTCATCACCATCGTCGTCAACACCATTGTTGCCATCACCATCGTCGTCAACACCATTGTCTCCACCATAGTCGTCAACACCATAGTCATCAACACCATTGTCTCCAACACCATAGTCGTCAACACCATTGTCGTCAACACCATAGTCGTCAACACCATTGTCTCCAACACCATAGTCGTCAACACCATTGTCTCCAACACCATAGTCGTCAATACCTTCGTCGTCAACACTATCGTCGTCAACACCATTGTCGTCAACACCATTGTCGTCAACACCATCGTCGTCATCACCATCGCCTTCAACACAATCGTCGTCATCACCATCCTCGTCATCCACATCCTCGTTATCACCATCGTGGCCATCATTATATAAAAGACACAAAACGGTAACAACTACCTGCAAATGAATCATATTACTTGCTGATTGGCTATTGCTTTTAGTTCAGTAGTGTTCAACCTGTTTTTGCCAGGAGGCACCCCCTTGAATATATCAAAAGACCAGCGCGCCATTTTAGAAAATGTGATTGACACAGGACAACGAAACCGATCTTAAGCACTATTAAGAAGAATCTCGTGAAATAGAAAGTACGGACATACGTTTTGCATTTTTAATCTGTAGTTAAATGCATGTGTATTCCTATGAATTAGGTTTTTAATGCTAGGTGTGCAAAAATGAAAAACTTCCTTGGCTTTTTTGTTTTATAAATAGTTTATAATATTTTATTTATAATTGGAAAAAAAAATTATTGTAACTGTTTATTACAAGCCCTGTAATCAATTTCAATTTTTTTCCTGAAGCCTTCTTACAGCTGCTTGCGCATTCCTAGGGAGCGTACCTACAGGCTTAAAACCTCTAGCTTCATTGTAAACTGTCTACTGTCACTACTGTCTGATTTACTGCCTTAATAGGGCGGTGTAGTAGGGAAGTCGTGAGCCTGAGGTTTAAGGTCGCATGACTAGTTCTTTCGCTACGGACTGTGCGGGTTAGGATGTTTAATTTTGCCCCCTACAGAAAATCTTAATCAATCACCTTACCAGGTGCCGAACCCCGGCCTCGTGCATGAAAGCCAGATTTTACTGTTAAAAATGATGTTACTCGTATTATCACAGGCTGGAACTGTTCACATTTCTCGCGGCCCACCTAACTCTTTTTCAGTCTGATCTAGGTCAGAGGAGTGTCACGTTTTACTGTATTTTTAGAAAACAGTCTCTCGTGTGACCTAGGTTGAGGCTGTGTGTAGTGGGGTTTGGGTTAGGGCCAGCTCTACATGTTCTAAGGTCATTACAAGCTGTGTCGTGGTGTAGTATAAAACATGCGACATCAACGCTGATGTAATTAGAGGGAAGACAACGTGACACCCTGCGACGTAGAAGAGTCTGAGAAAGTTTAAATGAAAGGTCAGAAAGTGTGTAGATGGGCTGGGTAACGTGAACAGGACCCACAAGCTTTCTTATGATACATGCGCTTCTCTATCTTTAAGATTTTTTTTGTAGATTCCGCCTCCAAAATGGAGGTTTGCTGGAATGCATGTGTGCATCCACTATTATCTTTGAATATTCAGCAGTGAAGTCACAGTCTCTTGTACTGCATGACAAGCTACTCGAATAACATTTGTAGTTCCAACACCGTCCAACTTAGAAATCAAATCTTAGGATGTCGGGGATTGTTACACCTTCACTGACCTATTAGCCACCCGACTGACTACTTTCTATTGTTAATCTTCTTTGGCTCAGACAAGAATAAATACATTTCACAGCCCTTGAAGTACCACTGTTTCAATACTGACAGTTTATTTAAAAAAGAAAAGGATAATGGTAACATTGTTCTCCCATTTACTCAGTTTTGTACACTAGTTCACTTCTAACTGGTCGACCTTCAGTCTAGCTCATTTCTGATTGGTCGACTTTGAGCCACGTGTCCTTGGCACTCGGTTTCTGTGGTGTTCCGCAATGCCGTTAAAATCGCGTGTTGTATATTTCAGCATGCCAGCGCTTTTAACACTCCAAAAACCTTGACAAACTGAATCTAACACAAAACCTCTTTAGAGAATGCTGCAGCCTATGTCACAGGCATTCTCTTTGTGGGCACTGAAACGTAAATGCAGGACAATCCAGAAAGTAAACAACAGAGCGGCACAGCCGTAACCTCCAGCAAGGTAGACTAGTCCAAAAAACGTTATAATGAACCGTGACCTACTTTGTTTCGTGAGACAAACGTTTGTCAAAAAAAAATAAAGTTAGCGGGCGAAGGGTGAAGTGTGCAATCACTTCGATATCATGCATGGAATTTTCTCCAGCATCTTTGGCTTATTTTGTCAACATTATAGTCACTCTAGGACGCCCTTGTTTATTCAGTCCTTCGGTTTGCCATTAATCTAATCACCACAACCATCCCAGTGCAGTGTGCAGTTTTTCTTGTTGAAAAGCCTTCATCCTGGCTGTGGTCAGGGGTCCTATATAACCTAACCTTCTTATCTCACAGTACCTTCTGCAAACCACCAAGTCGTCTTGTCTCTATCCGAAAGAAAAACACCATCCTGTAATTTCGTGCAGCAGGGTACCAGCCCTGAGCTTCATGAACTCAGGTGGGCCCACCTCCGAAAGTGTCTAGGAATCGTGGGCCGAAACACTTGTCGACGAGGATAATTTCTACTGACGACTGGTAGATCCCTGCTGTACTTGCTCCCTGTGAGTTTATTCCTAACGGTCCTGGGACCTGTTGCCGGGTGATCGTCATTCGAATGGTTGCACATTGCGTCCCTGGGTGTTAATCACTGGGTGTGATGTCCTGGTGGTGTTGCACATCAGTCGATCTGTTCATATTTGATCATTTCCTGCTTGTCACTTGTTAGAACTCGTCCATTATAGCACTATCTTCCCTGTTATATAACTACAGATAACAGTGGTTTTCAATATGTCTTTTATTTCTTTACTCCTCTTGAATTTATCCTATTTCTTCTACTTTGAGTTCACCAGCTGTAAACTCTGGTAGAAAGTTCTGGTTGTTCGTCCACTTTAGGAGTGCAGTTCTGTTCCAGAACCTAAGTGTTAGGTGTGCATCCGTTTGACATATCCAAACAGTTGTGTGCAGACTGTTTCTTGCCTCGCAGGCAGATGCAATTTGACTTCGAAGGAAGCTCCCAATTAGTCGAATCTTACGACATGCTTTTTTGGTAGGCATTAGGTCTGTTCTTGTTTTCCCTATAATTGGACGCCGAAACCGCCACGGGGATCCTATTTCATATTCACCAATTCCTTACGCATCGGCACATAGCTGAAAACAGAAATGTTATATGAAGGTTGTGAGTTCAGCTCATAACGAACCGGACTTTTTCTAAAAACGAACTCGGTTCCCACGTCAACCCAGCCTTAAATGGGTACCAGTTAAAGTCCTGGGAAGTAAAGGCAACCAGCATAATTTGTACCGTATGTTGAATGTTGAAATACGAATCGATAGCACAGCACTCGGGACACTCCCATAAGTGTCCCGTCTCTATCTTCAGCAGCAAGCGAAGAGTTTCAGTTCCGATGGCACCAGTAGCCGTGTGACTGTATAACCGTCTCATCCTTTCTTTTTAACCATATCGCCCACAGAGTGCCGATTGGTCAATAAAATGTAGGTCTAACCCTATATGCCCAATACCCTGAAAGTAATGTAAAGCGGTGTTTAATTGTATGAGTTCCTTTGTCTTCAGGACTGGCTGAATCTAGAAACAGACAATAATACTGTTCTTCACAGTGACCTGTTTGTGGGTCAGCGATGGCTGTCCCAGATGGGAAAGGCTGCGGAGAATTTTGGTATAACGATCCAATACTGCGGGGCGTATCCCAGGCATATTCTTCAGTCTCTGGAAGTTCCATCGGTAACCCAGGTGTGTTTGTGAGTAGCAGCTGTTTTTATTGTTGTTTTATTGAAAGGAGGATCCATGTTTTCCAATGTAAATGCTACAGACGCATTTTACGAATAAGTTATTTAGAACAAAAAACTAATAAATTTGTCAGAGACAAAATATACAAATTTGAGGAAAATCAGGAGCTTCTCTTGGCTGTGGTGAAATGTCGCAAGCTAGCTTTGTATGGGAACGTTTGGAGACATTATTTGATTGCAAAGGCTGTACTTCAAGGAACATTGGGGGTAGTCGAAGAAGAGGAGGGCAAAGAAGAACCTGAAATGACAACATAAAGAAATGGACAGGACTAAGTTATCATACACTTAATTATCAAGTCGAAGCCATAGAATGATGGCGGGTTTTATGTGCTAGAGCTTTCGTCAATACACATCTAGGACCCTAATGGGTCAAGTGTTATTTTATGTTATGTTATTGTTGTTATTTGAGTACATTGTGTGTTACATGTGTTTGGCTATTATGTAGGCATCGCACTAATCCTTAGAAAAGATTCATTATTAATATTAATTTTAACTGGGAATTACACAAGAATCACTATTTATATGTATATCACCATTGCATTTACATACCAATAACTTGTTTATGTGTATCTTGATGTCACATTGTGAACATTACACAAGATTCACTATGTATATGTTTAACACACTTGCGATTACACAAGATTCACTATGTATATGTTTAACACACTTGCGATTACACAAGATTCTGGACATTATAAAGATTCAATATTTATGTGTTTACAAAAGTTAACATTAAACAAGATTCACTATTTATATGTTTTTACAAAACTGGAAATTATAAAAGATTCATTTTTTACATGTTTGAAAAAATAAAAAAACTGGACATTACTAACAATTCACTATTTACATGTTGACATAACTGGACATTACTAACACTTCACTATATATGTGTTTACAAAACTGGACATTACACAAGATGCACTATTTATGTGTATTTTATGTTGACATTTCTCAAGACTGACTTTTTGTCTGTGATTCAGACCTGACATAACACAAGATTCACTATTTATATGTTTGTCACACTGGACATAACACAAGATTCCATATTTATATGGGTGTCACACTGGACATAACACCATATTTCATCTTTATATTAGTGTCACACTGGCCATAACACAAGATTCTATATTTATATGGGTGTCACACTGGACATAACACAAGATTCCATATTTATATGGGTGTCACACTGGACATAACACCATATTTCATCTTTATATTAGTGTCACACTGGGCATAACACAAGATTCTATATTTATATAGGTGTCACACTGGACATAACACCAGATTCCATTTTTTATATGGGTGTCACACTGGACATAACACAAGATTTCACCTTTTTTTTGGTGTCACACTCGACATAACACAAGATTCTATATTTATATGGGTGTCACACTGGACATAACACAAGATTCCATATTTATATGGGTGTCACACTGAACATAGCACAAGAGTCCATATTTATATGGGTGTCACACTGGACATAGCAGAAGATTCCATATTTATAAGGGTGTCACACTGGACATAACAGAAGATTCCATATTTATATGGGTGTCACACTGGACATAACACAAAATTCCACATTTATCTGGGTGTCACACTAGACATAACACAAAATTCCATACTTATATGTGTGTCACACTGGATATAACACAAGATTCCATATTTATATGGGTGTCACACTGGACATAACACAATATTTCATCTTTATATTGGTGTCACACTAGACGTAACACAAGATTTCATATTTATATGGGTGTCACACTGGACATAACACAAGATTTCATATTTATAAGGGTGTCACACTGGACATAACACAAGATTTCATATTTATATGGGTGTCACACTGGACATAACACAAGATTTCATATTTATATGGGTGTCACACTGGACATAACACAAGATTCCATATTTATGAAGGTGTCACACTGGACATAACACAAGATTTCATCTTTATATTGGTGTCACACTGGACGTAACACAAGATTCCATATTTATATGGGCGTCACACTGGACATAACACAAGATTTCATCTTTATATTGGTGTCACACTGGACGTAACACAAGATTCCATATTTATATGGGTGTCACACTGGACATAACACAAGATTCTATATTTATATGGGTGTCACACTGGACATAACACAAGATGTCACCTTTATATTTGTGTCAGACTGGACATAACACAAGATTATATACTTATATGGGTGTCACACTGGACATAACGCAAGATTCCATATTTATATGGGTGTCACACTGGACATAACACAAGATTCCATATTTATATTGATTCACACTGGACATAACACAAGATTCCATATTTATATGGGTGTCACACTAGATATAACACAGGATTCCATATTTATATGGGTGTCACACTAGACATAACACAAAATTCAATGTGTATATGTGTGTCACACTGGACATGACAGAAGATCCCATATTTATATGTGTGTCACACTGGACAAAACACAAGATTCCACATTTATATGGTTGTCACACTGGACATAACTCAAGATTCCATATGTATATGTGTGTCACAATGGACATTATTCAAGATTCAAATTGTGTGTGTTTCAAAGTTTTTGAAATTGAAGTATTTCTTTCCTATATTGGCTATTGTAGGCGAGGGTAACCAGGGACTACGAGCAGGGAGGTCGCCGTCAGTGGAACACCGGGATCACGTCCATTTTTGCTGACGTTGTGAATCTGGCTCCGTTCAAAGACACGTTCTGGACCACGGAGAGTCAACCCGGCAACCCATACAGTAGGTGCTGCTTTTGTGTCTGTACGGGTGAATGGATGTGTCATGTGTGTGGGTGTGGTAGTGCGTGTGGGTGCTATGTGGGTTTTTGAATATGGCGTATTGTTCTTGTATTATGCACGTCACATTTCATTTCATCCGTGTGAATTCAGGGCCCTTGTTTTGAAGGAATGAACAGTAGATACAGCCCCATAATAAGCAAGTCGGAAAAGGCTGCTAATTATGAATTTCCTTAAATCTGATGTGTTTAGCCGAAAGACGTAAATATGCCAGCCTAGCTATAAACGGCTACACAACGTTTGGTTTTATTACAGACATACAAATGAGAAAGAAGAAGACGATACTGAAGCATTACAATAATCATATTATAAAGATTACAAGTGAAAAAAAAAGGAAGAAGACGAATAACAACAATAATAATTGTTATCATAATAATATTAATAATAATAATAATAATAATAATAATAATAATTAAAAGAAGAAGAAGAAGAAGAAGAAGAAGAAGAAGAAGAAGAAGAAGAAGAAGAAGAAGAAGAAGAAGAAGAAGAAGAAGAAGAATAAGAAGAAGCAGAAGAAGAAGAAGAAGAAGAAGAAGAAGAAGAAGAAGAAGAAGAAGAAGAAGAAGAAGAAGAAAAAGAAGAAGAAGAAGAAGAAGAAAAAAGAAGAAGAAGAAGAAGAAGAAAAAGAAACAGACGAAGAAGAAGAAGTAAAAGAAGAAGAAGAAGAAGAAGAAGAAGAAGAAGAAGAAGAAGAAGAAGAAGAAGAAGAAGAAGAAGAAGAAGAAGAAGAAGAAGAAGAAGAAGAAGAAGAAGAAGAAGAAGAAGAAGAAGAAGAAGGATTAGAAGAAGGAGGAGCTAAGAATATGACCGTAGGCTATAGAAATGTCTTTAACAAAGGTCGAAAAACAAACACAAAAACAATTGCAAACATCTGGTACCGTAATGCTGTGTCTAGACTAAGACAAGCATTTAAGAAAGTGATTTACATAAATAATCAGAGGGGGGAACCCTTGAGTTCCTTGAAATATAGTATACATATATAATAAACAAAGAGATAATGTACTGATTGACACTCATATTTATGTTAACATTATTTGTGTTTAAAAAAGAATAATTAGATATTTCAGGACACGTCATAAAGTTGAACATGTACAAGTCATTGGCGAAGCGAGTATATTTTGGTAGCCTTATACAAATAGATCTTCAGCAGTCAAAATGTGATGTATTTAAATTAACACAGTGCCGACCAACTTTACTTTACAAGAAATGTCCTTGTACTTATTTTAGACTATTTCGAGATCCAAGCCCTCAGTCAGTTATTAACTCCTGACTTGTTTGCTGATTCTAACTCCGAACTCCGAAACATCTGACCGACAGACGGAGTTTTTTCCCTGCTCTAAAAAATGTCACTGATTCCCAGGTCGACCCAGACTAAAGTGGGTAACAGGTCATGTAGTGGGAAATAAAGGTGACTTTGACCACATTACGAAGGTCTAGCCGCTACACCACAGTGGCTTCTTAAAACCAGCAGTCACCACTGTGAGGACACGCTAGAGATATGAACATAGAGAGCTGTAGTGGTTACATCGGGTTCGAACTCATACTTTCACATTCCTTTGCTTTCGTGGTGTCTGATTTCAGATAGAACAGAACCAAATACACGTACTGAAGCAATGTTGGCCACTCTCAGTACAGGGCCTGTTGGACCCAGTGATGGCATTGGTTACATCAACAAGACCTTGCTCATGAAGTAAGAGATGTTTTAATGCAAGTTGTCTTAAGTAGGAGATATTTAATACAAGATGTCTTAAGTAAGAGATATTTCAATACAAGTTGTCTTAAGTAAGAGGTATTTTAGTACAAGCTGTCTAAAGTAAGACATATTTTAATACAAGCTGTCTTAAGTAAGAGGTATTTTAGTACAAGATGTCTTAAGTAAGAGATATTTCAATACAAGTTGTCTTAAGTGAGAGATATTTTATTACTAGTTGTCTTAAATTAAGTAAGAGGTATTTTAATACAAGTTGTCTTAAGTAAGAGGTATTTTAGTACAAGTTGTCTTAAGTAAGATATTTTAATTAAAGTTGTCTTAAATTAAGTAAGAGGTATTTTAGTACAAGTTGTCTTAAGTAAGAGGTATTTTAGTACAAGTTGTCTTAAGTAAGATATTTTAATTCAAGTTGTCTTAAGTAAGAGATTTTTAATACAAGTTGTCTTAAGTAAGATATATTTTAATTAAAGTTATCTTAAGTAAGAGATATTTTAATACAAGTTGTATTAAGAAAGAAATATTTTAATACAAGTTGTCTTAAGTAAGAGATATTTTAATTCAAGTTGTCTTAAGTAAGAGATATTTTAATACAAGTTGTCTTAAGTAAGAGCCATTTTAATACATGTTGTCTTAAGTAAGAGACATTTAAATGCAATGTTGTCTTAAGTAAGAGATATTTTAAAACAAGTTGTCTTAAATAAAAGATATTTTAATTTAAATTGTCTTAAGTAAGAGATATTTAAATACAAACTGTCTGAAGTAAGAGATATTTGAATACAAGTAGTCTTAAGTAAGAGGTATTTTAATACAAGTTGTCTTAATTAAGAGGTATTTTAATACAAGTTGTTTCAAGTAACAGGTGTTTTAATACAAGTTGTCTTAAGTAAGAGATATTTTAATACAAGATGTCTTAAGTTAGAGATATTTTAATACAACTTGTCTTAAGTAAGAGATATTTTAATACAAGTTGTCTTAAGTAAGAGATATTTTAATACAAGTTGTCTTAAGTAAGAGATATTTTAATTCAACTTGCCTGAAGTAAGAGATATTTTAATACAAATTGTCTTAAGTGATGTTTTAATACAAGTTGTCTTAAGTAAGAGTTTTTTTAATACAAGCTGTCTTAAGTAAGGTACATTTTAATACAAATTGTCTTAAGTAAGAGATATTTTAATACTAGTTGTCTTAAGTAAGAGGTATTTTAATACAAGTTGTCCTTTTTAAGAGATATTTTAATACAAGTTGTCTTAAGTCAGAGATATTTTAATACAAGTTGTCTTAATTAAGAGATATTTTAATACAAGTTGTCTTAAGAAAGATATATTTGAATACTTGTTGTCTTAATAAATCAGGAAAGATTTAAAACCGAATTAAAATTAGATCAGCGAACTTTACAGTATAACAATCAGAAATGAAACGTCAACGCTGTGGCTATAGAGCCTTCACTAACACATTAATAAATCCGGCAACCTCTTGGAGTGCCACATTTTATGAAAATGCCGCAACGACAGCTGTCTGCGATCAACAACACATTATGAGAAAGAATAAGTAAGAATGCTTGATAGCAATTGCAAGCAAGACACACACGTATACTAGGGAGCACAGGGCTATAAAACCCAAACAACTCCTCTAGAAACAAAAACAAAACAAAAAAAATGGCGGAAGTCTGAAGGAACCGGAATATGGTTCAATGGCCGGATTTTTTAATGTCATCCTATATTCCTTATATATATTGAACACTATTTTTTTTTTTTCGATTCTCAGTTTACCCGTTGCATAGTCACCATTTCGTTCGAGAACATCCGGTAAAGTGCAGCAGATGAAGATCTAGGCCTGGGGGTCATGACCCAGGTTGGCCCACCCTCTGAAATTGTCTAGGAGCTGATGGGCCGAAACAATTGTCGACAAGGGATCTTTTACTGATGATCGGTAGACTCCTGCTGTACATGCTTCCCTTTGGAGTTCTTACTATTAACCTTTACAGTACAGGAAATCAGCTCTAGTTTAGTGATTAGACGCTCTAATTCTGACGGAAGCAAAATGTTCTGTTTAAATCCTAGGTGATTTAAATTTTTTTTTTCGAAGTGATATTAGTTGCCAGGTCGACCAGCCTAAAATGGGGACGACGAATAATACTTGGGACGTAAAGGTGTCTGGGGTGATGTTGACCACATTACGAGGGTCTAGCCGCTACGCCATACCGGCTCCTAAAAACTAACAGTTGTCAGCAGAATAACAGTTTGTCGTTGACTCTACTGTCTATATGTTTACAATAAAATGCTCAGACTTATGTTTTCAATGGGAGTCGCCATGGAGTAGCGGTTAGAGGCTCTCCTGCGGATCGGAAGGTCGTGGGTTAGCACCTCTAACAAGGCCGGAATTTTTGTCCAACATGACCTTGGCTCCCAGGTAGACCCATTCTTGAGTGCGTACCAGGTGCAGTCCAGGGAAGTAAAGGCAGCGAGCGTGATGCTTACCACATCACCCATCTTTTGCCGATTGGAGTATAAAATATTGGTCTAGCCCTATATGCCTTATAGCCTGAGGGTAGTTGCTTATCCTTTACAGGACGTTGCAGAACCAACCCCAACAGCCCCTGGCTGTTGTTTGTGGTTTTTCCAGGCAAATTTACGTCCAGTAGTTTGCCATTGCTTCCTGGACGGTCGGCTCTCTTGATACCACTGTCGAAACCAACGCAAGGCGCATGGCCCGCAGCTGGGATCGAACCCGGCATCCCGGCATTACCAAGCGTTCTCATTGACTTAGCCGCAGAGCCGAATGCACCTAAAGGCGTTGAAAATAGTTTTTTTTTTTTTTCAACTTACTCATGTTTTTAATCACTGACCACAAGTATTTATGTATTTGTGCTAAAAGGTGTTGTGATGCCACTGGCCGAATTCTGAAACCTGACAAGCCGGTCAAAGCTATCGATGATCAAGTCAAAATGGTAGGTGAACAGTAATTATGACTTCGTAAAGTGTAAATATATACCAGTGGTGGACGAACTACGGTTCATGGGCGAAAATGGGCAATTTTTACTGTCCGGTGAGCTGGTATGACATTACTATTTAATATGACCACTAGGTTAATAAAATAACAGAACACAAAAAATCTCACTGATACCAGGTTGTAACACAGTGTCGTGAAATCCAGATAGAATCCACCCTCCCGCCCCCCCCCCCCGCCCCTTCCCCTTCCCCCACTCCTAAACAAAAAGCGATAACTTTAAACTTTGATAACCAGATACTCGTGCGGTAAAACATATAGAATGGCTTCAGTGAATGAGTGTGTCTGCTCAGAGGCGTAGCGCCTAGGGTCTCACATGCCATTTTAAATTCATTCATTTTCCTTTCTACAATCCTTTTCTTGGTTTCCAGAGGTCGACTGCGTCTACTTTTTCAGTCAACATTATGTAGGCTTGAATTTAAGTTTGTGATTACAAAAGGCGTCTGTGATCAGAAGGCTTCATGATGATGTCTCTGCACAATTTCAGTAGGAAATCTATGGAGATATACAAGCTCAAATTGTCTGTTACATTTTTATATGCGTCTATTGTGATGTACAAAGAAAATAAAAAAAGGCGAAATTCAGAAAAAGAATTAGTAGTAACAGCAGTGGTGACTGTGGAGGTAGTAGCAGCAGCAGCAGCAGCAACCGTGGTGGTGTTGGTAGTTTTAGCAGTTGTTGTAGTATTAGTAGGAGTATGAATAGAAGTGGTAATAGTAGTAATAATGGTGGTGGTGGTGGTGGTAGTAGTAGTAGTAGTAGTAGTAGTAGTAGTAGTAGTAGTAGTAGTAGTAGTAGTAGTAGTAGTAGTAGTAGTAGTAGTAGTAGTAGTAGTAGTAGTAGTAGTAGTAGTAGTAGTAGTAGTAGTAGTAGTAGTAGTAGTAGTAGTAGTAGTAGTAGTAGTAGTAAAATAAGATTAGGAAGAAGAAGAAGAAGAAGAAGAAGAAGAAGAAGAAGAAGAAGAAGAAGAAGAAGAAGAAGAAGAAGAAGAAGAAGAAGAAGAAGAAGAAGAAGAAGAAGAAGAAGAAGAAGAAGAAGAAGAAGAAGAAGAAGAAGAAGAAGAAGACAAAGAAGAAGAAGAAGAAGAAGAAGAAGAAGAAGAAGAAGAAGAAGAAGAAGAAGAAGAAGAAGAAGAAGAAGAAGAAGAAGAAGAAGAAGAAGAAGAAGAAGAAGAAGAAGAAGAAGAAGATTAAAAAGAAAAAGGAAAAGACGTGGCAATAAAAAGCAGAATAAATTAGTAGAAGAACAAACAACTCAAAATTTTTTCACCATGTATCTCAAAACGTTTATATCATTATATTGGTGCTGGCTTTGTATAGTATTTATGAAGACTGTATCTCTCACAGGCTGCCTTCAAGTCACCATACCCAGGACCCATTGGAGAAGTGTACACATCTTACACCAGGATATCCGGGTTCTTCTTCGGCATCATTGTAGTCCCACAACTGAACAACAGTTACTTACTGACGTCAGCCGCTGCTTGGCCAGTTATTGAAGTTAGTACATTTTTGTAACTATTGCTGTTTCATAGCTGGGTATTTACGTGTCCAGGAAACCTAAAACCAAAATAAAGATTGCCGAAGTTTGAGGTGTTCAACCATGTGGATGTGATAAGCAAGAGGAGACTACCACATTATATACATATAAGTAAAGTAAAATAACTTTTTTCCATCCCTTTAGGCGAACTTGGCATTTAAGGTAGGTCTATATTTTATAGACCAATCGGCAGTTGGTGGGTGACGTGGTCGGCACAGGTCGCGTCTACTTCCCCGGACTGCACCTAATACCCCCTTAAAGCTGGGTTGACCTGGGAGCCAGGCCATTTGTGAAAAAAAGCTTGGCTCCACCAGGACCCGAACCCACGACCTTCCGTTACACCAATATGACCTATAGATATATACATATACATATACATACCGTAACGGAAGAAGCAAGTATATAATCTTTACTAAAATCTTTATAATCTTTATACATAATCTTTACTATCAAAGCAGAAGAAGGAGGAGGAGAAGAAGAAGAGGAGGCAAAAGAAGAAGAAGAAGAAGAAGAAGAAGAAGAAGAAGAAGAAGAAGAAGAAGAAGAAGAAGAAGAAGAAGAAGAAGAAGAAGAAGAAGAAGAAGAAGAAGAAGAAGAAGAAGAAGAAGAAGAAGAAAAAGAAGAAGAAAAAGAAGAAGAAGAAGGAGAAGTAAAAGAAGAAGAGGAAAAAGAAAAAGAAGAAGAAGAAGGAGTAGAAGAAGAAGAAGAAGAAGAAGAAGAAGAAGAACAAGAACAAGAAGAAGAAGAAGAAGAAGAAGAAGAAGAAGTAGAAGAACAAGAAGAACGAGAGGAAGAACAAGAAGAAGAAGTATCATTATTTTCTGTCATACTATCATGTTATAGTTTTTTCGTTACTGTTTTCAGTTTCCTACTAGCCTGGCCTTTTCCGAGAATGACCCCAAGAAACTCTTCGACTTTTCCAACACGACGCCACTTAAACTAGGGAAAGAATGTACAGTTAGAAATGCTTGCCTCTTCTACACCAGTCCATTGATACAGTTGAGCTCTGGGTAAGTTCAACATTTCTTCTACAGCTGAAATACTGTTGCCACAGTAAAAGACAGCCTTTTTTTTTACAGACACACTACTGTTTTGATGCGGCGTCCGTGGCTTAGGCGTTGCGAGTCCGACTCGTGATCTAACGTACCGCGATCAAAACCCACTGCTGGCTGCGTGGATTTTTATCGTAGTATAGGGCGTCGCAGGTCGACCCAGCCTAAAATGGGTACCAAGATGGCTGTCCTGGGAAAGTAAAGACGTCCGGCGTAATGCTGACCACATTACCCATCCAGTGCTGATTGGTCTGTAAAAATATGGGGCGCTCTGCCCATATACCGGATGCGCCCAAGGCGTAATAAGTGATCTTTACTTTACTTTACTTACTGATTTGATGGAATAATTAAGAAAACAAGTGAAAAAATAATTCTTTTCATTTCATGTTAGTGAGACACTCGAATGATGGCCCGTATATCATTGGTTAAAATACTCAAATGGACGACATTTTTTTTACCCTTGGAAAATTGATCTTGGCTCTCACGGCCACAAAGCCTTCAATAGGTACACGGTAAGGAACTTGGAAGTAACGGCCACCGGCACGCTGCTAACCACGTCACAACTGAGCGTACACTAGTCTAACAAAATGTGAGTCTGGAGGGCGTACAAATGACGTTCCGTCATGTTCAACCAGCATCTATGAAGGTGGGGCTTCAGATTATTATTGTAATCAGGTTGTGTGATCAGTATAAAATCTCGTAGAATTGCACGCCACCAAAAGCCATGAAAAGGACTCCCCCAGCAATGATGCGATCATAGAAGACAGACCCAAATACTGTCCAGACCTAGGAAGAAGTCTACCAGCCAGCCAATGGGCCACCTCGTTGCCGATGCGTAAAAATCACCCTTTACGTTTGTTGTTTATTGGATATTATTCTTTTGATGGGAGAGGCAGGAAATCGTATATTATCTATCTTCTGGGCTTGTTGTAGAGAAACTACTATTTTGATGTCTAAGCTGGCGAACTGAAATAACTAACCATTTATTCGCTTCTTATGTTATTATAGAGACACTATTGTTTTGATGGGGGAGCTGGAGAAGTGGGTCCCAATGTCTGGGAAAAGAGTCAACAGTATTCAGAAGACAGACGGGGATGTCTTAGTTTATGTCCTGGTTCAGGCGCAAGAAACTGTGACCTTCACCTACTACTCAGTTACCAGGAACCAGCTGAAGACTGTCCTGTGTGACAACACCAAGAGTTGGTCACCTGCAGAGAACTCAGTTATTAGTCTTGTGTTCGGAGTTTGTACTCTCGGATAGATATATGTTAATAAGCATGCACAGTATAAAATGCCTAATATATATATATATATATATATATATATATATATATATATATATATATATATATATATATATATATATATATATATATATGGGTGTGTATGTATGTACTGTATGTATGTATGTATGTATGGATGTATGTATGTATGTATGTATGTATGTATGTATGTATGTATGTATGTATGTATGTATGTATGTATGTATGTATGTATGTATGTATGTATGTATATCTGTATTATGTATGTATGCATGTATGTATGTATGTATGTATGTATGTATGTATGTATGTATGTATGTATGTATGTATGTATTTATGTATGTATGTATGTATGTATGTATGTATGTATGTATGTATGTATGTATGTATGTATGTATGTATGTATGTATGTATGTATGTATGTATGTATGTATGTATGTATGTATGTATGTATGTATGTATGTATGTATGTATGTATGTATGTATGTATGTATGTATGTATGTATGTATGTATGTATGTATGTATGTATGTATGTATGTATGTATGTATGTATGTATGTATGTATGTATGTATGTATGTATGTATGTATGTATGTATGTATGTATGTATGTATGTATGTATGTATGTATGTATATCTGTATGTATGTCTGTCTGTATGTATGTCTGTATGTATGCATGTATGCATGCACGTATGTGTGTATGTATGAATGTATGTATGTTAGTGTGTATGTAATAATGCATATATGTATGTATGTATATATTTATATATATTTTCCCATTTTATAAGTATGGTGTTAGGTACTTGATGATTGTGACTATTTACCAGACTCTTTCCTTAGCTAAAATTAATCTTTGTTTTTTTTTTGTCTACATCGTGCCATGAAAAAGTTGTATAGTCAGCTATTTCAATTTTAGATAAGATTGAATTATTTACATAATGGAACCTTGTGTGTTGATAAAATCACCAGCACATAAAATCCTACGTCTCCCTTTCTATTCTCGGCTTTATGAATGAGTTAATTATAACTGTCTTGTCAATGTTTCGTTTTTAGCATTTACATTCGAACGCCTGAATCTAATTTTTCATTTCCACAGTGAGAGTCCAACTTTCACGTCCGAATAAGAAAAATAGACAATACCAGGGATATGTAAAAATTGACCTGAACTGTGATGCTGATTTCAGCTCTTGAAATATTAGGTCTTGTCTTGATCGTGTTGGTACAGCTGCCTGTGTTACTTATGTAGGAGTCAAGATATTTAAGGTTGCAACCTCCAGTTGTTTTCCCTTTTATCTGTGTGTTGTTAGGTACTTGATGATTGTGACTATTTACCAGACTTTTTTTTTTCCTCGACAGTAATTTCCATGCCACAGACTGTCTCTAATAGTAAGTTTTTGGAGTTATGTTTTAGAATCAGCCATGAAATCAACGTCATCTGGGAAACGTAAATTATTGTTCCGCCAATAAAAGTATTGTAAGCTCATCGAATACACACACACACACACACACACACACACAAAATACTACAACCAATTAGCTAGTTATAATTTTTTTTTTTTATCAAAGATAAAAATATGATACATACACTGAAAATAAACAAAGCAGTTTAATAGCCCACGAAATATTAATATCACAGAAACCTAGAATATGGTCAGTTGAAATATATAGTAGAAACACTACGATACAATAATCTTAAGGAATTTTAAGAGAAATAAATAATAAAATCAATCTCCCATGGGAGCAATCAGTTGTGGTATTGTTTGCGTTCGTCCCTCTCGAGTGATAAAGATCACTTTTTATCCAAATAGCAATGATCATATGCACGAAGGTGGCTGATTAGTGCAATAAGAGCACGGAAAGATCTTGCGCAGTGCGGACAATAGGTGAAAACCGCAGTAAGTATGGGTTTAACGATACGATTCTTTGTAGTTGTCTTCCATTTCTTTGCCTGTGCAACCACTGCCTTAGGGATGTACCCACCCAGAACAGTCCCGTGTAGTAGCCTCCCATGTCTTTGTAATAATGCCAAAAGAAATGAGAGAAGTTGTGAGAGTGTCCTGGTAGTGCTTTTATGTAGTTTCTGGAACCACTTACCTTGCTGGAGCTCGCCAGGGACAATCAGTAGAGGTACCTTGGAGTAGCTGCTACATTTGAGAACTGAGCACACATGGAAAGTCCCAAAGTGCAGTGACATCGATTGTAATAACGTATTGTTGGGCCATTGCAAGTGATGACGACCTCTCTTTCTTTCATCCATCATGAAACTATAGTTGATTTTGTGAGTCAGGAGATGGATTGTAAGTCCAATACTGGCCTGGAAGGATCTAGGCATTTAAGGCAGGAAACAGGGTCTGTAGGTAAGGGCCCGTTATATGGATTTTTCTAGCTTGCTTGCTCTGTTCAACCAGAGCCGTTTTAACAGCATTATGGGTCCCCGGGCAAACCAGTGTTCTGAGGAACCTACGTTACAACTAAGGAATGCAATCTAGATTTATGACAAGTTATTTGACACACCCAGTTTGGCATATGACTCTGCGCTTGTGAGGCAAGTGGCTATCGGGCCCATTTGGTAGGACAACCCTATATTCAGCCGCCTTTTTTCTGGAAGCCTTACAATTCTGCCCGTCTTCCGATACACCAATGGCTCTCAGCCTTCCTAATGCGGCGACCCTTTAGTACAGTTTCCTCGTGTTGCTGTGACCCTTTAGTACAGTTCCCTCATGTTGTGGCGATCCCCAAACAATTATTTCCCTTCATAACTTCAACGAATATGTGTTTTCCGATGGTCTCAGACGACCCCAGTGAAAGGGTCGTTCGACCTAATAAATGGATCGCGACGACAGGTTGAGAACCGCTATGATAGACGTTCGCTATATTGTCCGGTTCAAGCGTCAGAGTTTTTATGAAGGCTTTAAATTATACCTTTAGCGTTTGAAGTATTTTTGTTTTGTGATAACATAGCATAACACAACAGAAACAAATTGTCTCCAGATCGGTTATAAAGCCAATATCCAGCGGTCTTCACTTTTCAGGACGTGTTCTGGTATCACGTTAGCCTGGTAGTCAGGACGTGTTTTGGTATCGTGTTAGCCTGGTAGTCAGGACGTGTTTTGGTATCGTGTTAGCCTGGTAGTCAGGACGTGTTCTGGTATCGTGTTAGCCTGGTAGTCAGGACGTGTTCTGGTATCGTGTTAGCCTGGTAGTCAGGACGTGTTCTGGTATCGTGTTAGCCTGGTAGTCAGGACGTGTTCTGGTATCGTGTTAGCCTGGTAGTCAGGACGTGTTCTGGTATCGTGTAAGTATGGTAGTCAGGTCAGTTATGAAAATCCTCTAATTTGCTGATTAGAAACAGTCCTTCAGGTCTGCAGGCAAGCGTCGAGACCAGGAGTGGGACAACTATTGCCAGCAGACAAAGTGGCCCTCTGAGGTATTTTTACTGGCCCGCAAGGCTGGTGTAAGTTTTCTGTACAATTGCCGCCGCCCCCAATCCCGCACTTTCCCCTAGTAATAATATTTCTGCAAGTAACTATTTTAAACATGACAAACTTATCTCTTAGAGTCCCAGGGGGTTTAGCATCAGAGGCCCAAGGGGTAGTCAAAAGAGATGTAAAAATCGGCGCATCTTGCGTTCATTGGGCCTATAGGCGGGAACCTATGAACGTATGATGCGTTCCTTGGGACTCAAAGAGTTAATTAGGAATATATAGAAGAGCTTCAGTGGGTGAGTGTGTCTAGTTAGAGGCAAGACGAGAGATTACAAGTTCAGATTGTCTTAAACAAACATCGTGTTATGAAGAAATCTGGGTGTTATGTTTATTAGGCAATTTTATTTCTATATGGCATGCGACAAAGCTGGTAATTATAAATCTTGCCGCATCCCCCCCCCCCCCCCCCCCCCCCAAAAAAAAAAACAAGGTTGCCCACCGCTGGTCTTGTCACACAAGCCGTGCCGCCGGTAATTCTCTCTTTTTGCTCGATACTTCCGTCAGAAACTTTTCTTAAAAGACTAGTAACCAGACAGAACTACACTCATTAGATTTCTAATAGCATGCATCCTTGCTATTGAAACAACAGCGCATAAGTGCTTTGAATACAAATGTTATAGACGGGTTCTAAGAATATCATTGGTAACGAAAAGAACAAATGCATGCACACTTCAAAAACTGAAAATTGAAAAAGGTTGACATGATAAAAACATAAAGATTTAAGCATGTTGGTCACCTGAAACGGTATAAGCCTGGGAAGAGAGGAATATGACAGCCAAAGAGAAGATGGATGCAGAATGTGGAGGATGATCTCCAGGTGGGTGTATCGGAAGCTGAACATTTTGCTTGTGATCGGGACATTTTTCGGAGGGTGGTTTTGTGAGCAATATTCTGTAAAGGACATGCTACTGACAGACTAGGCAGCCTGGATGAAAGCTATCGGGCAGCCCAGATCTCAGTGTGTACCAAACAGCTTTTTTCTTTATTGAAGATGAAACAGGTCAAATTGATTCTCTATTAGCTGTTGTTGTTGTTGTTGTTGATCCAGCGGCGCATGAGCCTTGGCCCTCTGGCCCAGTGCCATGTAGGTGAATTTGTATGTTTTCATACGCTGTTCTTTTCCTCCGTGCAAGGTGTTCCACCTGTCTGGTCTGGGAGGGAGTAGCATTCTTCTAGTCTCGCTGAATTTGGGGCACTCAGAGAGGTGTTCAACAGTTTCGTAGGGGTAGTTACATAGCTGGCACTCTGTGGAGTGTTGTGGTTATATTCTGTTTAGGTGTCCACTTAGTGGAGTATGTTGTTTTCTGAGTTTGAAGATGGCAGCCTGGTCCTTTCTTGTTAGGTTGTTATTTTCTGTTAGCAGCTCACAGTTTGTACTGTTTGAGCTCATGTTTAGCATTTTCAGGTGCCAAGTTTGCAGATCCACATCTCCGTGTTTCTTACACCTAGAGACGCAAACAAATAATGGTGAAGTTCTGTTGTGTCTTGTTCCTAGTCTGAATACGACCCACTGT